TCAAAGTCTTTTCCTATGACAAAGAGATTCAACGAGCGCTTGATGTCGGACTTGGTGTTTGTCAAGGACATGGCTGGAGAGACTTTTGGCTTTTTGAACCAGGTTGATGATACCACCACCTACCAGGTTCTTTCCTTATTGCCCAGCCGTGAATCGTCTCAGATCATAGAAGTGATGGCGAAGGGATGGTTCAAGTTCTTTGGTTTTCCAGAGGCTCTCTTGCTGGACGCTGAAGGGGCATTCAAAAGTTTCGACTTCGATACTTTGACGGCCCAGAGTGGCATTCAAGTTCGTTTTGTTCCACCAGATGCACACTACCAGCTTGGAAAGGCGGAGAGACATGGTCATATAGCACGTGAAATCATGAACCGCCTGATACACCAACATGGTGTTCTTGCAGCAACGGACATGGAAATGATAGCCACCATGGCGACACACGCCAAGAACACGCTGACCACACGAGCAGGAGCAAGTCCTTCTCAATGGGTTCTGGGTCAGAATCCCAGGCTTCCCAGCTCTTTGATCTCCGAGACAGAGAACGCTGAAGCTATGCACCAGATCACCTTGAGTCGGAAGTTGCAGATGATTGAAGAGGTGCGGCATGATGCTATGAAATTGTTCATTGACCTGGACAATGACGCCTCACTTCGTCAGGCGATGCTTCGCCGACCGAGACCTTGGAGGGGGCCTTTTGAGATTGGCCAGAAGGTGGTTTACTGGCGTTTGCGCAACTCTATGGATGGTGAAGGGCCTCAACCAGGATACAGGCAAGGGATCATTCTTGCCGCTGATCCAGGACCAACTGGATCACTTTGGTTGCGAAATGACAGAGGCAGAGTCGTTCAAGTAGCCAGAGAACAAGTACGAAATCTTCAAGGTGAAGAAGCTTGGATACCTGGAGAAGCTGATTTTGAGTTGTTGCGACGTGCAGAACAAGATCTTGACAAGAAACATGCTGGTCAACATGACCTTCGAGATCTTCCAGTCCCAGCTCTTCCAGCTCCTGAGAGCGTGCCAAGCGCACCAGGTCTATCAACACCTCTACCTGCACTTTCCGATTTGCCCGAAGCTGCAACCAGCCCTTTAGCTTTGGCCGACCTTCCTGGTGGTCAATCAGCTACGGAAGAACCGTCGGATCTTCCTCTTGATGCTGGAGGAAACCCTTTGGAACATGAGCCCAATGCGACTGCGCCTCCAATTTTTGAGGCACCAATGGATCAAATTACACCAACTCTGTCAAGAGGAGTTTCCGCTGGCCCAGATGTGACAGAACCTGACACCAAGAAGTTGAAGTTGACACCTTCAGGAGCGTCATCAAGAAGGTCTTCTTTTGCTTCCGTTCCAGACTTGATGTCAAGGCAAGTGACGCCAAGCTTGGCTTCACTCCCACCAGTTCCTGAAGATGAAGACCCTGCATTCATGACACCACGACCAGAGGCTCTTGATGACCCTCGCGAAGCACAGGGAGATGACACGGTCTCCAAAAATGCAAGCCTTTTGGTGCACGAGACGTACACCATCAATTCAAAATCCTTTTTTGAATTCTGCGGCTGCCTTGAGAACAGTTGAGGCCGGAAAAGTTCAGTGCAGCCGTTGTTTTTCTTTCAAGTTCACCGACCACCCTGGGCAAGTTCAGAATTGGTTCGATGAGGATCTGGAGTATGACGCCAGAGTCAAGCGTTGGCGCAGTTTGCTTCTACAGCAGGCTGATGATGCTCACCTTCCAGATCAGACGGAACTCCAAGAGATTTGGAGAACTGGTGTTTGGCATGATAATGAGACTCATCGTAGTTTGTCAGCAGAAAAATCAGAATGCATCACCGCTTCCCCAGTGCGCAGCGAAGCTAGATGGTCCAAGACACAGGAAAGTTGGATATGGTGCACCTTAGCCGGTTGATGGAGAAGAGGGCATGAACTATGACTTCACGAAAGTTGTCACAATCCATCATTCTTCTCACAAGAAGGTGAAGTCCAACGCGAAAGTACGTGTCTTGAAGCACAAGAATCTCCTGAGAGGCCATCAGCCCGAACAAGTCTGGTTGTTGAGACATGGTCGTTCAGATGCGTACCGGCGTGGTTGGGATGGTACCTCACAAGAGTTTCAACCAATGTTTCAGGGCAACCAGAACTTCAAGAAGGCATGTCTTTTTGCAAACTGGGAGGACGATCTCAAGGTGAAATCAGCAGTTCATGATGCCATGTCTTCATCCACGGCACCAATCACTTTTCAGAGCTTTGTTTCCAATGACACCAGCTTCCAAGCTTTTCCAGACACTTCAGATGAAGAGGATGCTGGACTCAAAAGAACCCAGCGACAAGCTTTGAAACGAGAGCTTCCTTGGAAGTCCATTAGCGAAAGTGATCGGCAAGCTTTTGTAGATGCAATGGTAAAGGAGTGGGCAGAGTGGTGCAAATGGTCCTCTTGTCAGAAGTTTGAGGGTGATGCTTCAAAAGTTTCCAAGGAGCTGATTTTGCCATCGCGGGTGTGCTATCGCTGGAAACCGATAGATGGAGGATCTTCTTTCAAAGCAAAAGCCAGAATTGTGATTCAAGGTTTTCGTGATCCTCACCTACCATTGTTGTCAAGAGGATAGGCCTGATGAGCATCTTACAATGGGCCTCCAGCAACAACCTCAACCTGTGGAATGGCGATTGCAAGTCAGCCTTCTTGCAAGGCAAGCCTGACTTAGAAAGACCTCAAAAGATTTACATGCGAGTTCCTCAAGATGGCATTGCACTGGCAGCTGTACCTGAGTGGAACGTGGATCGTAACCAGCTCTATGTTTTACATGCCCCAGTGTATGGTCAAGCTAATGCACCGCGTCAATGGTTTCTGCATGTCCTCGATGTGATGAACCGTTTGAATTGGGTGCAACACTCTTTGGATCCTTGCGTTTTTCTTTACAAGAACTCCGAGAATGTGGTTACTGCTGTGCTGGGCATACACGTTGATGACATCATAGCATGTTCTCTTTTTGAAGATGATGGAGTTCTGATGGAGGTTAAAGCCAGCTTCTCATGGGGAGGACCTTGGGAGAAAAATGATTTTGTTTTTGTAGGTCGTAGGATCGTTAAGCATGATGATGGTCAAATCACTTTTTGAGTCAAAGCCACTATGCGACAGATGTTCTAGTGACCAAGAACAAACAAGACTCAGAGCAAAAGATGGGCAAAGACCGAGACGCCATGTCGAAGTTTCGTTCTGCTGTTGGTTCCTTGCAGTGGTTGGCTGGGCACTACACGTCCAGATCTCTGCGCCGATACCTCACTCCTGCAGAAAGCTCATGATGATTTGACCTACGGCGACTTGCAGGAAGCCAACGCCCTTCTCAAGTACTGCAAGGCGACAGCCGACACTCATGTGGTCATACGACCTATCAGTTTGGAATCCATGATTTTGGTGGCCTTTGGTGATTCTGCATTTGCGAATGCTCCTGGTGGCAAATCTCAAGGCGGCTTCTTGGTGGTTGCGACTACGGAGGACTGTGCCAGGCAGGAAGCCGACGCTTCCCTTCTGGATTGGAAGAGCTACCGTCACCAACGAGTTCTGAGATCCACTCTTGCAGCTGAGGCAGCCAGCTTAGACAAATCCGAAGATTATGCAAATTTCCTAGGATGCATGCTAGGCGAGATAGCTGTAGCAGGATATATTGCTTCTCACTCTGGTAGGTCACCATTTTCTATTTTGCCTGTGACAGATGCACGTTCACTTTTTCGACACAATTCATAGGTTGGCAACAAGTTTTCAAGAGAAACGTGTTGAAATAGATATTGCAGCCCTGCGTCAAACATGTCGCAATCTGCATTGGGTTCCAACAGAAGTGATGCTGGCAGCCGCCCTGACCAAGAGAAGTCGTCAGCTGCGCGATAGACTTAGGCAGTGGCAGATGAATCCCTCGGTGAGTCTTTCAGATTCCCATAATGCCAACAATTCCGTCCCAAGCACCGATCCATGGCGATTGAAGTCAAAAGAAAACACAACCAGTGAAATTCTGATGACCACTTTCATGTTTTGATCCTTTCGCTGTTGACATTCATCGCCTTGATGGCTCATAGGGTGGGAACGCATGCAACTTCATGGCGAGCTGGTGAAAAGGTCGCACTGTGTCGTCGGTGACAGATCCAGGATCCCAAGCTCCACAATCGCAGGGTTGACAGGTTGCGATTTTTGCGAAGTAACCTTCTCTTGAAAACTAACAACATTACATGTGAGAAGAGGTGCTTTCATTCTGCTTTGGGGGAGGCGCCCCCCCCTCCCGCTTTTTTATATTTAAACCCAAGCTCGTAAATACATTAGTTGGGGGTTGGCATGATGATGTGGTGAACATGATGGTGTGAATGCTAACCATGACCATCGTCCGCAACTTGCATTTTTGCGAACTAACATTCTCTTGAAAGTTTGGGGGTGACATGATGATGCAGTGAAGGTGGCCATGCCAAAATGTATCAAATCCCTTGGGGTTGGCATGATGATGTGGTGAGCATGCTCACATGTAGAAAATCCCATGCAAAATGGAAGGTGAATATGCCAACATGTAGCAAATCCCATACAAAAACTACAACTGCATGCTATTGCACACAACAACAACAACAACCACTGCTGCTGCTGCTGCCGCTACTGCTGCTACTGCTGCTGCTGCTAACTACTACTACTACTACTACTACTGCACCTTCTACTGCTATCCTTCTCCCTTTCTCTTTCTCCTCTGTTCCTTCTCCTTCTTCTTCCTTCTTTTCCCTCCCTTCCTCTTCCTATCTCTACTCCTATACCTACTCCTGGCCTCCTACCCCTACTTTGCTTCGTCCTCTCGCAGACTGCTTCATTTTTAATTTTTTTTGATGTCTATTTAATATTTGTTTTTGTTGATCTCCTCGGCGAACAGGATTTCTCACTTTCTCTTTACATTTTTGTTTTTTGATCTCTATTTGTTTTTTTTGATATTTTTGTTTTTTTTTTTGATATCTATTTGTTTTTTTTGATCCTGCCCCTGAACTCTGAGGCCTAGCCTGCCGTCGTCACCATCCCCAGTACCCTTTGGTGGCTGCGGCACAGCATCTTATTCAGAGTTGGGATGCCCAGTCCTGAAACTGCGGGTGCCACGCAAAGTCAACAGATGTTGCAATTGCCGCCGTGGAAAAGTTGTTGTCCCTGTTGATCAGCGTTTTTTCTCGTATTGCATGTGTGTCAGCTGTTCCTGTAAACACGTGCCAACTCTCATCCAATGGACCTTTGCAAATAAACCACGTTTGCATGAAGAATTCTGAACCTCTACTGGACATTGGTACCTTGCACTTGTTCAGTTCCGGGCCTTTAGATGAGAGGAAACGGAATGATCAATTTGCTAAAGCTTGCGAGTATCTTAGATAGCTGACTGTTGATTGCACCAGCCTTAGAAACAGACGTCTATGATGTGTTTTGGATTTTAGACGTTTGGATAGTGAACATGCCTGAAACCTCAATCAAGGCACATTCACGAAATTTTTAGATTCCACAACACACACTGTCACTGGAAGCAGATTGATGGAGCTGTTTATTCGCACATTGGACAGCTATGGAACAGCTGTGCAGTTGAGGCTACCAGAGCTGCCAACACCTTTTGAGAAGAAGGACCACTGCTCTGTCTTTCTTTACGCGTCGGTTGGTCTAGAGGCGGCAACGACCCCAAGAACAGACTCAACATTTCATGTCGGGTATCCGACGTCCTATCAGCGGCGAAAGTGATCAAGTCGCATGCACTGCAAGCACTGCAAGGACTTGTTGGCGGATGCAATTTATAGCCGGCCTTTAAGTGAGGTGCTCAGAATGTGATCCGGGTGCAGCATCATACTGGCCCCTTTGGGGGCGCATTTGGTGCAAAGATTGAACCATAGATCCCTCGGATTTATGGATGGATAGGCATGGTATTCTGATAGAGGTGGAACCAAATGTTTGAAAGTGATCACCAAGGCTACTTTTCAGGGAACCTGATAGCGGATTTATGGTCATTGCATGTCATCGCGTGGACTGAGCAATTCCTTTGAGGCTCTGTGAGCACATCAGCAGGGCCAACGCCAAGCCCAGAGGAATTCAGACAGTTCCAGGCAAGCTCAGAGTGCACAGTTTTTCAACCCAGAGTCTGGATCCCTGGATGATCCCATTAGATTTCAAAAGAAGTGATGTATCAAACTTGTCGCACTTACATACAAGTGTTGGAGAGTGACGGATTCATTTTGCAGGTGACTGGTTTTCAGTCTCCCCAGATACTGCCCAAGCCTTTCCAAGCAGCTTCTGCCATGTGTTGTGGAGCCTTGCAGCCAAGTAGCATGAACATCTGCGATCATTGTGAAGGCCTCAAGTTGCTGAGGTTTGCGGGGGACGAGCCCAGAATGGGTTCTAGCCTCGGAAGCGCAGCTGCGTGGTGATGCCACATAGAGATTTGTTAAAAGGCAGTGTTCCGAAAATGTGAAGCTGTGAGTTTCAAATCGAGGTGAGGCTTCGCACTTCGCTGAAGAGGGTGAGATGCAGTTCTCTTCTGTTGGAGACACTGGAGGTGGGTCACAGTCCGGATTTGTTTTAGTCAGGGCAGCAGAACAATTGAGCAGTGACGAAAATGCATGTCAAATAATTGGTGATGCATATTGTACAGAGATTTAGTACCTATCTGGTGGCAACTATTCTGACAGCAACCAACCAGTAAAAGGGATGACGTATTCGGGTCTTGAACACACTCAGTGGTGGTCCTTGAGTTCAACGAAACCCTTGGATTTTGGAGGCCACGGAGCTCACGGGGATCTGCGTCGAGATCGGCGAAGGCCATCGCACTGTGAGGGCAGTGCTCCGTCTGCTCCGTTCAATGGAGCCTCGTTTGAGGCCTTGCAGGGTGACCCAGAGGGCTACAGCGGCTACAGCACATGCCTGGACACTGACCGTGGCTAGTTACGGCTAGTCGAATGGAATCACATTTCTCAGACATTGAGAAAAAAGAGGACAATTATTACATTGAGAAATATTGACACATACTTCTACTCCCCATATATATATATATATAGATCACATAATACTGACCACATGTTGATCATATCACCAGATTGAGCATTTCTGTTCCTGTCAGTGCTGAGGCTACAGGAAGGGCAACTGACCAAGTCAGTTGTGGTCATTGCCTTAGAAAATCTATGTAATCTATTGTAATCTACTAGGTGAAGATCCTGGTTAGATCATAAATAGATCAACATACTGATCAGTATGATCTGCTGATGCCCATCACCTTCAATCTTCGTCATACTGCCGTTGAGCCATAGACCCGAGATGGGCGGAGGCGGAGATGTCCAAGACGCAAGTGGGCAGCAAGTTGCTCCAGAAGAAGCTTCTGAAGGGTCATCCCAGTGTGATCCAGGTGCAGTTTCAGCGCTTTTCTGGCCGTATTTTTGCTGTGCGTTCTGGCCGCCCTGGTGCCAGGATATTCTTGCAGGACTCGAGTCTGAGCTGCCGGATATTATGTGCAACATGTTGGGGGCTCAGATTGGGCTCTCTTCTCTACGAAGCAACATCTCTTTCTCCACTTTCTCCATAGAAAGGGTCTTATTCCAGGAAAAATCCACTGCCGGTCGCTGTTCCGAGCTAGATATGGATGATTCTGTGCCTTAGTGATAGCATTGGCTTGGTAATTTTGCCACTCCCACTTTTTTTCCTGCATCTACAATTTTCTGCGAGGTACGGAAACTATTTATGCTCAGCGGCCTTCCAGTCATGCTCAGTAGCACAGCGTTTGCGAATGTGTGAGCCTCAACTTAGCACTTGCACCCGCTGCCACTCTTCTCTGTTTCGCCTCCACCGTTTTTAACCCTCCGCTTTTAATACTTCCGTTCTGGGGTCCTGGCTCTTCCAGTCAGTAGGAAAGCTCAAAGTGGATCTGTAGCGTCAGGATTCTCCAGGATTCTCCAGGATTCACATGTCAAGTCCACAGAAATCAAATGTGGACTGCATGTGTTGGGAGGTGCCACCGGTGCCACCGGTGCTCAGCAGTTTGCCGAGGCTCGAGATAACTTCGCGGCATTTGTTGACCATTGGAAAGGACAAATGGGGCACGCATGTCATGTCCTCAATCCTCCAGCAATGCTGGCGCTGGCGCGCTGGCGCGCTGGCGCTGGCTGATTGGGGCTTCGCATCGAAACCACTGCTGAGGCGCTCCAATCCCTGCTGAGCTGGAGACTTAGTTGGGACAATATTTGAGTCCGGTCTGTCCAAAACAAGATAAGTAGATAAATCATGATAGACCATGGATGTAGGAATGTCCATCTTGGGATAGAGGCCATGTGGACCATGTATGTCTTGTTTTGAGGTAGAGGCTGAAATCTGGTTTGCGCAGTCTGTGGTTCTTTCTTGCTTGCGATGGATATATAGTTGATGTGGCTTCAGCCAGATCTTTTCTTTGAAACACTTTGACTGCAGGCCTGGTTTGCACCAACGATGAGCAGAAGCTCTTGCTGCCTGCTTTGAAGGTGAAGAGTTGAGTAGATGTTACTTGGTGCGGAGCGTATATCATTATATCATTCAAGAGTTTAATCATGTTTTCCAGAATCTAAGCGTAGCTGCTGGTCAAGACCTAGCTAAAACCCTGCATGATGACATCAGTTGCTAGGAGCACGCTGTGGAGCTGAGTTGCGATCAGCACGGGACGCATGTCATGCAAAGGGTCTGAACCTTGGAATCACCATGCCGGGGGATGCCGGCAAACGGGGTATGGGTGTGATTTAAGAACTCGTGATACCAAGAATATGATATAATTGATATGGGTATTGTAGCAACAATGGGTATTGTAACCCGATACTGTAGGGTTATCATTTTGACATCTTGTCGTTTTGCCAACCCTATTTGGGGATTGCAAGATACTGACAATATGCAAACATGATAAGCCTATTGTGGGTTGATTTGGACCCAAGTTTGACAGATACCCACAAAAATCATTGCCTTTACTCAAGCGCCTTGAACGGTACCCTGGTGAATCACATCAAAATGGGCAGTAAATGACATATCTTTCTGTATGTTCATATGTTCATTCCCCCATTCCCACAGAAAATCAAAGGTTTTCGACTCATCCCCGGCAGATGATTTTGCTGTGGACAACTTCTTTGTGCTGTCCATGGCAGCTGAGGCCATTACGAGCTTTGGCACCCCTTGCACACGGCTAAGCCTTGACCAATGGGTAGCGATAGCTTTCCAAAGCAGATGTCACGGTGTCTTGATGGGATTCGAGAGCCAAAAGGCAATCTGAAGATTGCCACAGCATAGCATTTGTCCGTCTTTGAGGCTTCATTTTGTGTCACGGAAAGTTTGTTATTGTTTTTTTTTGGAACTACAGAAAATCCAAAAGTCATTTTTGTTCCTCATCCAGTTTCAAAAGTCATGTGGAACAGAAACTCCATGCCACCATGGTCCAGTCGCACGTCCGCACGGGTCCTAGGGTCCTAGGCCCTGACGTCCTGCTGCATCGCCTCGCAGCTGCTTTGCGCAAGGCGTGACTGCTATATTTGATGATAGATTCCGAGAAGGATTGTGACAAGAACAATCTAGGTAGCAGATGGTACTAACATCATCTAACATCTTTGATTTTACAAGCGATCCTTGATCATTATCTAATAAAAGTGATACCAACTATTGTTGTTTGCTTAATGATGATCGAAATATGATCGAATTATAGTGACAAATAAAGCTGTGATGTTTTGCTGTACCAGCCTCAGAATTTCGCTTCTGTTGTGGTTGTTCTGCAGGTGGCCTACAACTCGCACGGTCTTTGTGTGCTGAAGCGCTGCATATCGCAAACTAGGCGCGTTTGGATCGCCTCTGTCGATCCAAAGGAACTTCCTCAGCTTCCCAACAGCAACGATATCAAGCTCCCAAAATAGACTGTGGAAATTCCCAAAATAACATGGATGACTGGGGGTACTGAGAAAGAATCGTTTTGAGGTCCGGCCATGGGCAGCAATATTTGATCCAAGAGATGGCAAGGCAAGCTGTGGACTTGGCCCCTTGGATGTGATTTGTGTCCAGGGCTGTAGGGCTGGAACATGGACATCTTGGAATAGCACAGGCTTCGCAAATTTCAGGAGTTGGTCCCAGAATTTGCGTGTTTTCTCGAAAATGAGATTTTTATTCTCAAGTGTAGGGATGCTATGACTTGGATCTCCAATTCCTGATTCGCCAGCACTGGTTCATGAGCCTCGAGAGTGGCAGCAGCGGAAAATCGCTTTTCCTGATCTCGCCCAGGTGCAGAGTCCTTATGGGAACTATGTGGTTCAGCACTGTTTTGAAGAACTGGGCTTTGATGCGTCTGCCTCCCCAGAGCATCTGTTATTTGTGTTATTTTGTGTTACAGATTTATATACCAGATGCTTTGTTAGTTTTGTTCAGGCTCTGCATTGGAAGCCTTGAAACTGACTCGTTCATCAACTAGCCAGAAGTTGAAAGACCCTGGGGCCCTGAACTTCAAATGGAGATGTGGGGACGATGCAGAAGGTTGGAAGTATGGCCGCATTTTAGATGCAAACCGCACCTTTGACCCATCAATCCTTTCATCTCCTTCCATCCTGCACCAGGTGCAGACCAATTATTCAGGCACTGTGGCACTGTGGCGTTGGATTCGCCCAACCTTTGGCAAGAAGTCAAAAAATTGGATTCAGCAGAACGCTTGCTGTGCTTTTTTCCTTGAAGATGGAATTGGTGATGCATTTTTTTAACGATTCGATGTAATTTATAAACTCTGTCAGTTAGATCATACAGAATCATACACATTTGTACATTGCTGAAACATTTTGCCACATTTGACACGGGTTTTTCCCATGTCCAGGCGATGAAGGGCAAGTTGTTACAGCTCAGCCTGCAGAAATTTTCCTCAAATGTCGTCCATGGCTCAGAAGACAAAAACTGGATGCAAAGATGTTTTGAAATGTTTTGAATATATACTAGTATTTTTTGCAGTATGCATCTACACAATACATGTATATACATGTACAGATAAACAATGATAAACATATGTATAGATAAAGATCTACATTTAGAAAACTATGCACAAAGACATCCCGTCCCGTTTACCGAAGAGTCGTTCCGTGCGCCCGGTTCCACGGCGCCAGGTTGAGTATATTTTGCGCCTTGCCCAACCAGAGGTGCTTGACGCTGCCGGCTCAATGTGTCAATTTTAGTGCCAGATGTAAATCAGTCTGTAACAAATTCTAGATGGGATCTCGATTGAAACTCTTGTGCTTTGGTGAATACTTTGGTGGGTGAACATGAGCATCCACAGAGCTTTTAGTTGTGAATTTTCATGAACCTGATGATATCACATGTTTTTTTCCCCTCCCCAGCCCCCCAGATGTTGAAAACAACTGGGCGTGCCACGTAACTGAGCATTTCTGCTCAGCACAAAAATAGGAAGGAATGTGTGGCGCCAGGGCTTGCTTGGGGAAGTTGTCCCGGAGCTGGCAAAGAAAGAGCAGTCCCACGTTCTCATGTCCACTGCGCTCGCCTCAAGGGATGCTCACCGTGATTTCTGCATTTCTGCAGGTTGCCACCTTGTGCAGTTACTGTTGGCCTAGTGCAGTGCAAGGCTGCTTTATTCGTATCCATTGGTCCCCGATCCAGACATCGTTTTCTTCATGACTTTTGGATTAGACATTTTCACAAGCACTTGGTCAACACGTTTGGTTTTGCATCATGTGTTCCGATTTCATGGCTTGGCAAAGATCTCTAGTTCAGGTATTGATGGAACATGTTTTGAAATAGAGGACATACAAACAATTCAAATGCAGATAAATAGGGAGAAAGTCACTGAGGTAAATAGGGAGCTAAATAGATTTACATGGAAACGGTGTTGCATTTTTTGGACTGTCGAGACTCTCTTTTCAGCCAATGTTGAGGCCATGTTAGGCCCATTGGAAACCATGCTTAGGATATATGATGCTACATAGCAGTGTAGTAGAGGCCATCTTGAAGATGTGGAAAACACACATGAAACTGGAGCAATAAAAGGCTCCCAAATCCTGAAGCACTATTGAATGCAATTACTACTCTTTCGTGTGTATTGGACTACACTACTTGGACACTGCAGTACGGGCAGATTTTTGCATCTGGAAAACACCTGAACAATTTATGCAATTCTCGCTTCTCTGAGACCAGCAAAGACTCTCAACAGCACATCCTCAGGTGTATGGCATGCACGTGGCTCATCAACTTCTGAAGGTGCTTCACTTCATCATTCAGTGAACCACTTTGTACTTCTGAGAATTGGAAGGCCCAGGTAATGGAATTTGGTTGATGTTCGTCAATGGGTGATATAAACCATCAAAATATGGGTCGTATCTTATTGCTTTACTCAGATTACACATGTAGCCGCAGTCCCAAGCTTCATGGGGAGCCCATGTGCAGCTTAAATGCCGTGCCAGGTTTTGAATGACACAGACAGGGTGGCTTTGGAGGTCACCTACAGTGCAACCTTGAGAGGCAGGAATCAGCGCCTGCGTGAGCGCTGGGAGAGTATCATCCTCAGAAATATGTGAAGAGATGCTGAAGAATACATAGAACATGAACCAGTGAACCATTATGAAATTATTATGAATATTAGCATGAATTATAAACATCTCATCCTCAAAGGTTCAACACAAAAAAGCTGCTCAACGTGGCACGCCCCAACCAGGTCTCCTTTCTGGGACTGGGCGGTATGGCTACGAAGAGAGCGATTTGCCACATGCAGCCACGCCGTTTTGGCCTCAGCCTGTCACATGGACTGTCTCTTCTTGTTGCTTTTGATGATTGATGTAATATGTAGCGATTTATCACTATCATCGTTACTATTCTATATTACATTATATTACCATTTTCATCTTTATCATTTATCATCATTATTCTTATTCTTCTTATTGTAAATTATAAACATGATATATGACCGGTATTGTTAATTTTTGTCACCATTGTTGATATTGTGGTGGTGTGATGACCGTGGTCTCTCAGGCCTTCGGGGGGTCGGTTAGTTTTTGATGGCAGCAACACGCCGCTCAATCGGCGTCGACAGGTCGGTGTTCAGAGCTTGGCTGGGTTGAGATTTGGTTGCCCCAGAGCTGCCAAAACAAGATTTGGGTGTGTCTCAAAATGGGGTATACACCCCAAATGACCAATTTCAATGGGAAAATAATGACAATCAATTGTTTTTTCTTGGGCATCCTGTTTTCAAACAAACCCAATTGGACGTGATTGCATTCCAGCACGTGTCAGGAGAACTGAAATTGGCTGTAAAACTGATCTCGGGCCAGGGACGCGGAGATCGTTCCACGCCGTCAAAGCAGCAGAGGCTGACCTGTTTTGATGAAAGTGCCATGGAGGGGCCGGAAGAGAAAACAAGAGTTCTTCTTCCCAACATTTTTTCCTATGTCACTTTTGTATACTTTTGTCACTGAACACATGATGCAGGGCAGGCAAGGGCAGCCCAGAGAAAGGAGGAAAAGGCAGGGTCTTTGGTGGTTCCATCCTGGAAGATTGAGGCAGATGCCCCTTGCTGCACCATTGCCAGGAGGTGTCCTCACACCAGGTCTCTTAGTTGTGCGCGCCCCAGTGCCAACGAATACCATTACTAGATGTTACTTGGAGATTCTGGAAAAAATGCATGTTGTTGAAATCCCATGTTGATCGGCATAGGTGGATTCCATGAATTCACACCAATTGATGGTCGAACTGTGAATTTTGTGCCTTTTTTTCCCCTTCTATAAATTTGGATAAATTGCACAGGACACTGATCGATGATCACTGAGCCACCAGAGGCTCAGAGATGGGACATACTGACAGACTATCTCGCTATGTCCCTCAATTTTTAGAGCCTCCCTTGCAAGTTGCATGTCTAAAGGTGCACTCTGCTGCAGTTGACTTGGGATGGAAGTTTTCCCCGCCGCTCTGGGCGACAGTTGAGTTATGGCAGTTGGTGATTCCTTCAGCGCGTCGAGGGTTGATCGGAATTGGGAGTAAGATATATCATCAAAATTCATCAAACACAACAAGGATCCCTGCCACTGTGGCCAGCTTTTTGTTCATTCCATGGTCAAGCCCTCAAATGTTAGCTTTTCCGTGGTGTAGCTGCGGAGCTTGTAACAAGGCGTGAGGTCGTAGCAAGCTCCTCAGTTTTGGTAGGTCGCATCGATTTTCCCAGAAGCAACACCCTATTGGGCATAGACATGGCGGCACTTTCAAGCTTTGGTTTTTCCTTTAGGACTGTTAGGAACATGTGTATATTGTGCTACTAAGTTATTGATTCCCAGTATTTTGATGAATAGTAGTGCTTTCTGGCATTCTTTGGCAAGATGTCCAAGCATTGAGTATTGAGCATTCTTGGCGAATTTGTTTCCAGTAAAGTTCAATTCGCTTTGGGGAGAATCCTGATGCTTCGAATATAGATTTCTAGCGACACTATAGCTCGGTGCTGAGCTGCAAACACAGCAGATTTTCTGTGACTGGATCATCATGCTGTACTGGTACCTCTGTTTGTGCACAACCTTGGCTTTTGCAGCTCAAATGCACTTGTCTTGATAGTTGTAATTCGTTGTCCTGCCAACTTATTGCTTGGCAGCAGGTGATACGCGAAATTATCATTTCTCAGAATGGACTTTGTCTTTGTTGCGCAGAACACCCTCATGTTGCTTGTCTTGATTGTTTCTCCTGGCACGGAAGCACCAGAATTCCGTAGGCCTTGAGAGGCTGAGCCCCGGGTTCTCACAGACTTGTACATGGCACAAGAACCTGGGTGCTGCCTAGCTGATTGAACCGACACAAGGAGAAAACAGAGAAAGGATAGCCAGGTGAGGTCTGTGCATGTTGCCCTTGTGTTGTCCTTGTGTTGTCCTTGTGTTGTCCATGTGTTGTTTTGCCTTCTCATCTGGAATGTGAGCTGGTGACTGCCGTATCATGAAGATGGGCGCTTGGCAGAAAGACACACCTACACACATGATACGTGTGATCCATTCTGTCTGAAGTACCTTTGGTGCCGAGTGTGGCAATTCAGAAGAGATAGACCCACCTTACTCTGATGTGTGATTGCTCAAGACTGCAGGAATTGCTGCTGTAAGAAAGGGCCTGTCTTGGACTTGCTGGAAACGGCAGGTCTGCATTTGCGATGAGCAATATGGCTACAGCCATTCCGGTGGTGCTGATGCCTGGACAAGGTGAAGGACCTGTCAATGGCGGCATCGGCATGCAACCCACCGTATTTGCAAGACCTATGGGACCTGGTGGACCAAGAGGCCCAATTCCAGTTGTGGGCTTGGCTGGGGCACAGCTCAATGGCTGCGGAGGGTGCGGCTTGGGGGGACCAAGTTTCGGAAAGGGCAATCCCGGCAAGGGTGGTCCTGGCGGTTGTGGCGGTTGTGGTTGCGGTCCTGGTGCCCCTGGTGGCCCTGGTGGCCCTGGTGGCCCTGGTGGTCCTGGCCCCAGATCTGGAGGTAGTCAAGCCAAGGACTTCTTCAGTCGAGGCCCTCCTGACGGACCTGGCTGTGGAGCTGGTGGAGGTTGTGGTCCTGGCCCTGCGATGAATGGATGTCATGGTCCCGGCATGAATCGGCCTCCAGGCCCCGGGATGAATGGATGCCATGGGCCGGGAATGAATGGCTTCCAAGGCAAGGGAATGCAGGGAATGATGAATGGCAAGGGTCCTGGCATGAATGGGTGCATGGATTTTGGTGGCAAAGGAGGTCCTGAAGGTCAGCAGATGGCTTATATGCCTGTGATTGTGCCTGCTAGCCAGATGGGTCAATACCAAAGCAGTGGGGCTGTGCCATTGGCTTGTGTCAATGCAGAAGATTTGAAGAGTGGAGAAGTGCTGAACGAGATCTATGCCAAGATGCCAGAGATGCTACAAGAGAAAACTATGCGTGGTTCCTCAAAATCCCCTCCTCGCGGACCTGAAACTTGGAGGTTCAACCGGGAGGGCGGCAAGGGGAAAGGCTTTGACCGACGCCCTTCCCTTGAGGGTTTTGGACGGCAGTCTGATGAACCCAGGATGCCCAGAGACAGAAGACCATCCCCAGAGCGGGGACCATTTCAGAGCCGCAGGAGAAACTTTGGTGTCCCAGATCGCCCTTTGAAGTTTGGAGGGTCTCAGCAATCAGGGCAGTGGCAGCAACCGTTGCCAAATGGAAGCCCTGCATCAGTCTACTTCATTGCTGACCAGACCAATCTTCAGCAAGCAGCCAGCCGCTTGAATTTTTTGGGCCAAGGTCTGGTGATTGTGATGGATTGTCATGGATGGAATCTGAAGACTGCAGCAGGAAAGCTTTGTTTGCTGACGGTGGCTTTCATGGATGGGAATCTGCAGGTCTTCATCTTTGATGTTGTACAGCTTGGTGAACAGATGCACATCTTGGCACCCTTTTTCACCAATCCCAATGCCACGAAGATCAGTTCTGATGCTTCCACGCATGCAGAGGTGCTCGCACACAAGTTTGGCATCAACCTCACAGGTGTCATTGATGCTCAGTGGGCGTATGAAACAGTGGAGAAGAGAACCATGGTCAAGCCGGTTGAGATTCTCGAATGGTGCGGTATGGCACCTATGGATTACAAGAATGAGGCCGAACGGCTGGCTGGAAATCCTGAAATTTGGGGACAGAGACCCTTGTCCCAACCAGTGTTGTCTCATGCAACGCAAGGGATTTGCCTGCAGCACGCTGCGGCCAACGTGATGTGGGAACACCTTGGTCGTGCCTTTGGCCCAACGGCTTTCAACAAGGTGATCATGAACTCCCAGAGACGAGCAGAAATGGCTGCAGCTGCTGGCTGGGCGTGCCGCAATGCGGGGCTGTACACCGCAGAGCAGGAGATGCGCTGGAAATGGTGATTTGGATGTCAAAAGTGACATCTGATATCAACTGAATAGGCTTGGAGTTGAGTAGTTCCAGCAACTTCTACAGCAGATTCTAGGTTAGACTGTGCTGTTTAGGTATGGACTTTCAGAAGTGATAAGCATGCAGGCGCACTAAAGAGGCCTCCTAGAGCGCAGTGGTTTGTGGTAGCTTTCCACCTTATTGCATGATGCCCATGGTTATTTACGAATATTTAAGAGGGGACTAGGGGACATGAAAATCACCTCCAGGACTATCAGAAAGAGTCTGACCTGGATGATTGGTTGGCCAAGCGCTTTGGACGGCAAGAGCCTGGAGCTCCACCCTCGGCCGCTGTGCGCGCCCGGTCAGCTGACAAGCCCAAGCTCCCGGAGACGGCCTTCAGAGAGGGAGACAGCCCCAGGACAGCAGCTTGGCGTGCAGCGGTGGCTGAGTTGAATCCACCTCGCATTCAGCCTTCCCGGCAGCGCTCTGCATCTCCCACCCTCAACAATTGGCTCAGCAGACGTGATGAACGCAGAGCCAACGCACGTCCCGGCGCGTCGCACCGGGCTTCCAGTCTTCCATCCCGAGAGAGAGAACGGGCTGATGACGAAGAAGACTACTTTCCTCGACCTTTGCAGCCCTTGAATTTTGAACCTCGGACGAGTTGATAACTTTGACTGATATGGGAAACAACACAAAAGGCCATCCAGGTTTTGTTTTGGCTTCCGTATCTGAATTGCTTGCATGCTTGGTGCTGACACAAGAATTGCCAGCTGAGGACAACTTGGACCGCAAGAGATGGACTGAGATAGTAGAAGAAGATCATGCGCATGCTGGTGACTAGGAGTGAAGCACACTTTTGCCTTTTCCAAGCTGCAGTCACAATATTTGCTAGTGCGACCAGGTTGATGAAAGTATCGAAAGTCAATAAAATGCTATCAATAAACCATAGTGCCATAGTTATACAGTGTTGTAGACTTTATGGACCATAATCATTATTGACATTTATTAACCATGGTTGAAAGAAATCTGACGTTTCATCCGTTTGACTCCTAGACTCCTAGTGCCTGCCAGCAAGTTCTCCAACCGCGGGGCCGTTCCCGGCCCCTCGGTGGCGCTGCTCTTGACAGAGCTCGTCTCACCTAAAGCCATCGGAAAGACGCCTCGAAAGCGCACCGTTAAAATTAGTTACAATGAAATCCAATTGGGGGTGGGTCAAAACCCTGGTACCTAGTGAACATCAAAATAGCTGGTAAATGGATGTTCATCCCACTAAAAATGGTATCTATAGGTATTGACCCATAGCCAATTCAAATAATGGAATACATTCCAGATATTCTCAGATACTCTGTGGCTTGAGTCATGTTTGGATGGTAAACCAGCCAGACCAAACTGGAAGTCTTGCTGAAATGTCATGATGGGTGAATTTGAACTGGTGAAACTTGCAGCTTGACATTGATCGAACAGGGATTAAATCTGGGAGCAGACTCATGAGTCAATGTCCAGTCGAGCTCTGCTTGGCATCGAGAATCAATGAATGCACACTTGGTCATTTTGTCGATCATGAGTTGTTGGAATTTGAAGTACGTGTAAGAATATCAACTTACCTTAGCGATGTGTACTTTCTAGGGCAAGGGACAATGGCCATGTTTTTTCTTCAAAACATACAGTATTACATCCCATGGCAACAACACAGGACATCCTCCAGCAGATCTGAAGTGAATTTGCCAGTGGCACTTGGCCCACCGGCCCAGACATGCATGAGTTCCTCCTGCGAGCTGCAGGTGCGGCCTCCTGAACGTTTTCATCGGGTGATGAACCATCAGTTTTTTTGGGTACCCTATTTTAGACAAACGCTGATGGTGTTTCAGTTCACACAGTGTCACAAGCAACCTACTGAAATTTCCAAGTGTCTGCAGGGGCACATTGTGGGCACTTGGACTTATCAGAACGGCAGTCAGCATCTCAACAATTTTCAGCCGAGCAGCAAATCGGGTGTGATCTTCTAGGACTTTGAAGTGGACTTTAGATGGCCGGAAGGGTCATGAATGGTCAGGAGTCATGTCTTGATCTTCGAAACTTTCCCACCGGGCTTCAACATGCTTGTACCAGTGGAAATCAAGGCTGAAGATATGGTCTATTGAGCTCTCAGTAGCTGATGTATGGCTTTCTTGGCCCTGTTTGAAGCTCTGAGCATTCCCAGGTTCTTACAGAGTAGTCTTGGACGGAGACAACTTCGTCTTTGAAGAACGTCATGGCGATGGACGGGACGTGCGCGGAATCTTGCTACAAGAAGATGCCTGGTTGGTAGCGCCCCAGCTGCACTGGCTTTTGCATCACCGGGTATCCCTGTGACCCCAGAACTGGGGAAGCTCTCCAATACTGGTATGAATGCCCTTAATTCAGACTTCTGTCATGCCTATTTATAGAATGTTATATATATTTATATATATATAATGTTATATAAAACTATGACTAGTTATATAATGTTATATAAATATATTGTTATATAAAACTATGACTAGTTATATAACATTATATATATATAATGTTATATAAAACTATGACTAGTTATATAATGTTATATAATGTTATATAATGTTATATAATGTTATTAACTATATTATATAGCTATGTTTAACATCCAAAACAACCCGTTCCTATTGCAGACTATTGACCTGGACTGGGATGAACAGCCGATGCCTCTTGGCAACCTGACCGTTTGCATCATTGCAATGTCGTCTGCATTCCATAGGTTGGAATGTATCCCACTTCTCATAGAAAGAATGTCAACATTTCATGATTTGAAGAGATTTGAAGGTTTTTCCAGAGTCGATGGCAGGCAGATAGCGACTTTTTGAACCCCAGAACTTCCCAAATCCCTGGCCTTCCCCACGAAAACCACCGCGCTTGCGGCGGTTGCGTTGAAGAAAAATGTGCGCCGCACCCAGGGGCGGCTCATCTACCGCGACACCAGCGAGGTCTCCGGCACGGTGATGTTGCTGCCTTAGCGATCCGAGGTCAGTGGTGCCTTTCATTTTTCAGCCCAACAAGACATGATTTGAGAATGTGCAAAAATTGGATCTTATTGGATCTTATTGGATCTTATTGGGATTGTGGTCCAATGGTCCAAAGACTTTGGACTCTTCAGTCCTATCTTTTTTTGATCGTTGTCTTGCTGGCGGAGGCTGCAATTTGCCGACGGGCCTGTGACTCAAGTGTTCTAGTTTGCCGAGTCCCCAAATGGGATGGCCGTGGCAAAAACTAGGGCAAATTTCCAAACTAACAACCTCAAAGCAGCCCAATGATTCCATCCAGGTTGGACACCTTGACCTCTTTTTTCCAACCTCGTGGTACATCTGGATGGGTCAGGCGCCTCAGACTTTCAGTCCAGTGGCCATGGTGGAACGGCCGATGACCGGCCGAGGTTCAGGCTGTTGCGACGCGATCTGGCAAGGCGCAGGCAAGGCCTTGCCTTGAGGTTTGGGCTCGACAAGAGATGTCGCAAGCCAAATCGGCATCTCTGAAAATTTGGTATACAACTTACCCTCTGGTAAACTAACATAACTATGGAAAGATCCACCATTTTTAATTGGAAAACTCATTATAAATGGCCATTTTCAATAGCTATGTTAAATTACCAGAGGGTATACAACATTACACAAGCCAAATGGCCATCAATAGGGAACATGATGATTCACCAGTGGATGGAATTTTGAAATTCCTTGATCTGAAAATCGCGTGCCATGCGTGCCCTGTTCAGGCTCGCATCTTGGATGGCAAGGGGCAAAGGCGCACCGGTTGTTTTGAGGATTTGGGAGGAACAGACAGGACATGATGAAGTTGTTTTTGTTTCATACATGGATCATGCAAGGATACAGTATTTGGTTTCAGTCTTTGCATTGAGTCCGCAAGTTCAGACTTGACAGTGTCAAGAGACTCTTAGAGTTTTCCCACCTGTTTGGGGAGAAACATGGCAACTGGCCAACCTGCTGAGGTACGTGATAAAATTGATTTATAGAACCTGACTAGACTGAACACTTTTAAAACTGATAAACATTTAAACATGTTCCTGGAGAGAAATCCGATAATCCGTTGTTTTTTTCAGGTTTTTAACCCACTATTGTAAACCATCCCCAAAATCACCTTTTTATGCGTGCTATGTTTACGTTTCCCATGGTCAGTTTCTGGCATTGGGTTTCCCGCAGTTCGGAGGCCGTTGCCCACGAGCCTGATGCAAAGCCAGCGGAGTTTCCTGACGCAAGGCCTGGACAATACGGGGGATGGGGGCACCCATGTGATAAATGTGGCAATTTTAATGATTCTGAATGGAACATCTATGAACATATTAATGCATGATGATCAAGAATGGAATTTGAATGAATATATATATATATATACACATTTCGACCACATATAAGTTCGGTTTACACAAGCTCTGACAATTTTGGAATTCTGAGGATGTACTGTAAAGCTTGAATTGAATCACTTGCGAATCGTGTGAATCGTGGAATGTGGATTGCAACTGTGACCTGCAAATTTCAATCTGATAGGCCCTCTCAGCGTCACTGGCTATCCGGAGGTGTCGCGCGAGGACTGGACCACTGGAATCATGGTGCCACACTGTTCAAACCCAAGTCATGAGCGAAACCTCCAGCCTTCGACATGGAGTCACCATGGTACCTTCAAGTCATGTGGAAGGAGTTTGGATGGTCACCAATTCTGTGCGATTGTGTGTTGCAGTCATTGAAGGCGAGAGTGCGATTAGAGGGAAATTGTCTCGGTTGCAATCAATTCTATTTGGTTCGCTGGCCATTTTCAATCGTAGTAGATCTCAGTCGGGTAAACCTTTGCTTGAAGTGTGGCACTGTCCTTCCCTGGGACATCCTGGGACTTTGTAATTGTAATGCTAGTTGAACAGGCCCAACTCCTGATCCAAAGCTGTAGTCTTGATGCAGACGATCCAGTGGGCAGAAACTTCCCTATGGCTTTTGATGTCACAGGGGTAAACAAAAATAAGTGTGTTGCAGCATCGTTCTGAAGCAGCACAGCACGAGGCTAGGGTGGCGTACCTCGAAGAAACGATGTCATCACATCACTCAGAAGCCACAGTGCGGACACTCAGCGTTGAGACATGTTGATTCTTGAGACTCAAAGCTTTGGTCTTACTACTGCAGGGATAATATGGGAAAATGTCAAAAAAAAGCGCCATGAGAACCACACAGGTTCCCTTTCCTTCCACCTCTTCTACTCTGGCAGGTTCGAGGCAGCAACTATCGGTGTTTGCCAGAGAGAGGCTTGGCTCATAAGTGGTTCCCCGAAGTGGTGGTTGTGGAGATTCCAAGTGCATCCAAGTGCTATATGTTCAATTGGATTTCCATGATTTGTTCTTTGGGTAGAGTTCAAATCCAAACAACAAACTCTTACTTTGGAATGAACCACCAGCATTTCAACATATTTCAACACTTTGGTGCTCGTGGCAGTGCTTGCGGAGGTGACTGGCGCGACACGTCACTGAGGGTGCAGCCTGTGAAAGCAAAGACTTTAGCCAGGACTTGCCAAGATTGATGTGTTTGCTCCTGATGGGGAAGGAGTTTTGGTATAGACTGCTTGAAACCTGGGGATTTTCCATTTCTAGGCACTCTGTGACCAACAGCCTCCAGGACCATTTGGAGTGAGGCTGATGCCTGCCAAGAGCTATCTTTTCCCACACTTGGCAAAGTTCAGGCTGGAAAGGGATCACATCACAGGATGATCCTGCAGACCCTCCATTCACCAACCGTTGGCTTTCCGAGGCCGAGCCTGCACCGCCGGACAAAGGCGCGAGGGGGTGCTTATGGCCAGAAGCCACGTTTGCTGTCTCGGATGGGACACAGATGCTGGAGGCCAGAGGAGAATTTCCAAGAAGGATCAAGCCGTGCAGTGTGTTGAGGCTGGGCACTTTGGAGTTGTTTGGCTGGTCGCCACTCGACACCATAGTTGGAAGATTTGTCAGCTCACCTTCCACCCAATTTCTGCAGTTTCTGCGAAGTGCAGTAAAACTTCAGAATATGCACAGGTATCAGGGATTTGGCACAAGCTTTAGCATGCCACTTTTCAGCGTTTCGCTGTTTCCTACTGCTGCCCCCCTATAGTGCTTTTCCGTTTTCAGCCATGGACTATTCGACCGACCAGATCGCCGTTTTGAGCCTTCCCTTTGATTCACTTGATCAAGTTTCCGAACCAAATCTTGCACTGGCCTATCTACAGGATGGCCCCTGTTCTTCAGGTCTGCTTACCGAGACCTATTTGTCACTTTTATATTGCTGGCCTAGCTGCAGGGTGGCTCTTGCCAATGTGCGACAAAGGCGCTCATGATTTTCTTTTCGAAGGACGCAGCGTTCTTCATTTCACTGGCCTAGCTGCAGGGTGGCTCCTGCCAATGTGCGACAAAGGTGCCCATTATTTTCTTTTGGAAGGACGCAACATACTTCACTTTGCTGGCCTAGTTGCAGGGTGGCTCCTGCCAATATGCGACAAAGGTGCTCATTATTTTCTTTTGGAAGGATGCAACATACTTCTCTTTGCTGGCCTAGCTGCAGGGTGGCTCCTGCCCTTATTTGAAAAGGATGCACAATCAACCATCTGAGCGCACCTTCTACCTGTTTCACCAACTTTGCGAAATGGCATGTTTCACGCCTACTTGATTTTGTAAATAGTTTCATTGCTATTGCCACAGAGCAAGGTCCATGTTTTCCTTTGTTAGTAATTGACTTTAATCGGTTGACTTTAATGAACTTAAGGGATTTGATCTCTGTTTTCTGCCATCCCACATTTGCTCCTACCATCCCCATTGTTACTAACCCCACCATCGGCGCACAGGACTCTTCCAGGCAACAGAGCCCCCCAGGAGACACAGATTCCAGGACGTCGAGTCCCAGAGTGACTTCAAGTCACTCTTTCAGAGTCGAAGACTCAGGGGACCTAAGATCCCACCCAGGTGAGCCCAACACTGGGCAACTGCAAGGTCATACTACACACTCTTTCAAGCAACATTGTCCCTCTAGGAGGAACACGGCTCAGGACAGGCAGTCCAATTTTATAAAGATACATCCTATAAAGATACATCCCAGGGAGGCATCAAGCCTCTGGCTCAGCAGCTTCGGCCCTTCAGATTTCGCTGACCGCGAGCTCAGCGAATGCCAGAAACAATCAATCTCACACTTTCAGGGTCTTACAGTCAACAAATTTATGAAGCTTCATCACGGCAACACCTCTTTGTATTGTCCAAAGTGCAACTGTTTTATGGGGCACCACTATTTTTTTAATTCACCAAAGAAATTGCATTCTAATCATTCTAACCCACTCAGACTTCAAAATGGTATGATGGTCCACCATGTTAAATATTGTCACAACCATACGTTTTCATGTTTTTTTTAGAAGGGGCAAAAAGCAGTATCATTCCATCAGCAGCTAGAGCTGGCAGGGGCTGCCAGAGGCTTGCCGGGAGACCACGGTCCATCCAAGAGTGTATTTTTATCCTACCAGTAGAATTGCCCTCCTAAGCACCAGACAAGTGGTCACGAACGCTGCCGTGCGTCGCGGGACCGTTCACACAAAAATTGTTGATCGCAACAAAGCCTAGAAGCGCGACATGCCAAATATAGTGAATCAAGACGCAAAAGCCGGCGACTTTATCGACAATGGAACTCCCAGTCACGCAGATGGATGGGTTCCACCTTGCCCATTCCATTAGGTCCCGCGTATAAGGTGCAAGTTAGTAGCATTTCCCAAAAGCGGAACTACCCTCCACATGTCTTATCCCATACCACTTCTTCTAGATCAAATTTCTTCAAGACATACATCACACGAGACCAGTTAGATGAACCCCCAGCAAGACTGGATAACTTTTCCACACCCAACAGAAAGCTTCAACTTTACTCCTGGAACATTGCAACCTTCATCGGTACAGGCAAATATTCACGATTTCAAGAAGTTATTCTAAAACTGTCACAGGGCTTTTTCTGTCTACAAGAGGCTAAGGCTACCCATACTGATATCATTAAGCTCTCCCACACTCACATTTATTTGGGACAAACTACAGTCCCTCCTCCTCCTCCAATACAACTCCGAATTTATTCCCATTCTGATGGGCAACTTCAATACCCGACTTTACCAAAAAACCAGTTTGAGGGCCTTGAGCCCCACATCGGACCTTATACATTCTCCTCCACCATTGCTGATGATCTCCTTCCTCACAACAATGTCTCCTTTTTTTTACTGAATTTTTTCAAGACAATGAACTTTGTGTCGTCTCCTCAATATGAAAACGCCCTCCTTCCAAACTAGGTACATACCTTGAGATTACTCGCGACCCACCTCCCTTCTCCTCCCCTACCACAGACGCATATGCGGTCCTAGACCATGTACGCATGACTTTCGCTCCATTCTTTCTCTCCCACATCTCGCTCTCCCCTGGCATCATAGACATTTCCTCATTTCTGCTATATTTTAACTCCCATTCTTTCACTCACCCAAACCTCCGCCTCCACCGCCAAAGCGTGACTTCTCCCCGAATGATTCCAAACTCGCATACCAAACCGTCGTACTCAGTGCCTTCGGCCTACCTTCTCCACCCTCCAACATGTTTGCTCCATTTCATATTTACACAGACGGATCTTGTCCAGACCTATTTAATATTTCCCTACAAAACCCCGCAGCATGGGGCGTTTTCTACGAAAGCAATTTTCGTGACCTATACGGTACACTCCCATTCCCAGTCAATGGATCTAACAACACCGCTGAACTCCAAGCACCGCCAGAAGCCATCGCGTTTATGCTCCTCCGCCCCCCTCTCCCCCTCCATCCATTTCCATCTAGACTCACAATATGTTCTCGACTTCCTCCTTGGTGCTTCATTACCATGACAGAACCTTGAACTCGCTTCTACCTTCTCGATTATTATCATTATCTTACGTCGTCCTTCACAAAGCCAAGCCTCACTCTGGAATCCCAGGTAGCGAACGCGCAGACTCCAATGCCAACAAGGGCTTAACCATGCGCACTCCGATCGGACGATTTTTATCATTCCCATTTTCCCCCCTGCCCCCACCCCCCTCAACACATCAATCCTCCTCCCCTCCGGATTCTACCACATTCACTATCAGTCGTTCCATTTCTTCGGCCGCTGACTCCTCTTTCCCTGTCAAATCTATTCCCTCCCGTAGGCCATATACCTCCCATTCCACGATGAACCTTACAGCATTGAGTAGTCTGCGTTGGCTACAGAAGGGTCTTCTGTCAAGAATTAAAATACAAAAAATACGAAAAAATACAACTCAAAAATACAAAATCTGAATTGCAGGGTTTAGAAAATACAACAGGTTGGCTTGGCATTTATTTTCCAATTTGGTTCTTGCTTTTCAAAATGAACATGGGGTTGGCTCTCTGGCTCATTTTTGAATTCGTTTTTTTTTGGGGGTATTTTGCATTTTGAAATTTTTGGTTCGGATTTTTTTTTGAATTTTGTATTTTTTTGATTTTTTTGGTTCGTATTTTTTTTTTGTATTTTGTATTTTTGAGAAATTGCGTTTGTATTTATCTTGTATTTTTTTTGGTAAAAAAAACAAAAATACAACATAAATAGAAAAACACTTTGTATTTTTGTATTTTTTATTTTTCCATTACTTCCAAAAATGCACTTTGTATTTTTTTGTATTTTTTCCATTCCTTCACAGATTGCACTTTGTCTTTTTGTATTTTTTCGCTCTTTAGACATGCGGTCGAAGAAAAAAACCGCGAATCCACCAATGTATGTTGTATTTCCCTTTTGTTGCTGATTTTGCCCCCTTCAGTGTTGTATTTTTTTTGTAATTTGGGTTTGCATTTTTTTTTGCATTTTTTGTTTTCTAATGATTACAGAGGTTACAGGCTGTAGCCACCCGACTACTCAATTGTAGCACAGCTCCCCAATGTAGATCCGGAGGTTCGCAAATCTCTTTGTACCCGAATCAAAAACTCCTCTCGTCACGATAAAAAGGTTTGGATTAAGAATCAACTCCCATCAGACCACTGGAAGACCATCAAAAAAGTCGGCTCCAAATACCAACCTCCTACCCAGAGTGTATTTCGACCGGACGGTACTCCCTCACTCCGCTCAGAAAAGGCCACCTTGTTGGCACAACACCTCCGTGATAAGGTCTGGCATCATACTCCTCTTCCAGAGCCCACTGAGGACCCCCTCTCTCCCCCACATCCTTAACTTGACGCTCCATTCCTCCGCCTCCTTCCTCATCCAGTAAAGAAAATTCTGCTTGCCCACTACAATGACTGTCTCTTTTGGGCCATGCCCCAGATCACTGGAAAATCAGCAAAGTTATCATGATCTACAAAGGCAATAATAAGTGCAGCCGCTCTCCTTCAAGTTATCGATCCATCTCACTTGCCAACTCGATCTACAAAATTTATGCCTGTATGATCCAGCAACGCCTCTCTCACTCTATTGACCAAAATCTCCATCCACACCAATATGGTTTTCGCCAGAATCAATCTCTCTCTCTCTCTCTCCCCACTCCTTTCTTTCTCTTCCTTTCTCTTCCGCCGTCTCACCGAAATTTTTGAAAGGCACTCCACCTCTTTATACATCCTTTTCCTTGATTGGTCGCAGGCCTTTGATTCTATCGGCCACCCTCACTTAGCTGCCGCCTTGCGAAGATGTGGAGTCCCACCTCTTCTGGTCCAAGCCATCATGGCTCTTTATCACCATGGTCAATTCTTCGTTTCCGACCTTCCATGTCTCTTCCCTCAATATACCTTCCGCCGAGGGATTCGGCAGAACTACCCTCTCAGCCCTTATCTCTTCATCATCGTCCTCTCTGCTCTGACCTCCGATGTCCATTCCCTATTTCAGGATTTTTTCCCTATACTCCCTGGACCTACTCTTTTCAAAATCCGCTCACTGACGTTGAGTGTGCGGACGACGCAGTTTTCATTGCTCGTACTCAAGACACTCTCTCCAGACTTCTCCACCTTCTCCAGCATCTTGCTGCTCGTATAGGCCTCCTTCTCAATGGCCCACAGTGCCAACTCCTGTGCATTCATTCCAATTTTTCAATTTCCCTCTCCACTAAGACAGATCCCTATACAGTATGTGATTGGCGTTTTTGTGCTCCCTTTTTCCAGTCCACCCCCTCCCTCCCCTATCTAGTGCCAAATATCTAGTGTCATTTTTTACTCCCAGTTCATCCTCTGTCCCAGACGTCAACTATCGCTGCTCAGCCTTTAGAATCCTCGACCCTTTCTTTCGACATCTGCTTGTCTCACCTAAATTCAAGCTTAGAGTTTATTCACAGATAGTTCAATCCATTCTTCTACATGGCTCCGAATCCCAAATCTACTCTCCTGCTGAAATCACACGTATTGACTCCCTTCATTATAAAGCCCTCCGGCAAATTTTCTAGGTCAAAAGCCCCTATTATCATCGGGCCCTTCAGCCCTCAGACTCACCTTGCTCTAACACCTAGCTTCTTTCCTTGTCCTACCCGGTCCTTCCCTCATGCATACCCTCCTCGATGAGAATTTCAGATTCCCGTATCAAATTGCTCGGACATATCTTGCGCCACCCATCGTCTTCTGAATCCCTTATTTGCTTTGACCAGTCCTACTCTTTACGTACAATATCCTCCTCCTTTAGACGCGGAACACCAAGAGCCCAGCGGCCAGAGCTTGTATTAGCTGAAGCATCCCGCCGCGCATATAGTCTCCACCAACCCCCCCCACACTTGGGGATTTCCAGCATTCTTTCTATCAACATTTCGCTATCGTTGAGCTAAAGCATTTTTCCTCTACCAGCATGAAACAGTGGTACAATACCAGGAGATAGATTCACCTCCTCTTGCCAATTGCGGAAGACAGATTTTGATGGAAGTTGCTTCACCCCAAAGTGAAATGGTCAACCAAGCTTAGGGACAATGCTGCTGCGGATGTGTGGGCCAATCTGGACTACATATTGCTTGTGAAGAAATGCGCAGGTATCAAGTCATATCTAGTCCTGATGATTGACCTTCACCAGTTTTGCTCGATTTCTGCATGGTTTCCTGGTCATTGGAATCAGGAGAAGCCACCCGTCGCCCCCGCATCGCCCGCGGCGCCGCCCGTCCTGGCGCCACCTGCGCCATCTGCGCCTGCGGCGGCGCCAGTGGAGCCTCCGGAGAAGTCCTGCCATTGCGGCTCAAAGACCAGACGCAATGTGCGATACTTAGCCCATCTTAGCCCTACTGGCCCCACTCAGATTTTTTTTGGTTTTTGACACCGGGATGGGGGTTTCAGGGTCGGAATTCTGTACCACGAGAGTCTTTGTTTATTTGCTTTCGCAGAAATTGGAGGGAACTTGGAGGGAACATCTACAGGAAACAATCCCCCGGAAACAATCCCCAGAAAATTGATGTTAACGAACCATGGTTTCCCTTAAGCCAAGCTATTGATGATTGTTTCTGGGAAGAGCATTGATGGTGGTATGTATTGTGACGGAAAATTGAGAGGCTGGAGTCAATTATGGATTTCTTCCTGATCCAGCTTAGAATGGCTCAGATGTGATTGCTTGTTTTGAAAACTGCCTGTTTGCACACCGAAAACACGCAACTGACGCCTGCATGTTCCTTGTTGAATTTCCGGAATTGAAGGAGCACAAACTTGCAGCTGCCCTTTCTGTGAGAGTTTCAATCGGCTGATCATGTAATTACTTTTCCTGACTCAAGTAACCTCAAAATGAGAGGATTTGCAACCAGTCACGCTCATTGGTGGTCCCTTGGTATGAACTCGTGATTGGTCCTGTTATTGCTGATAAAATCATAGTCATATGGAATTTTCCGGACTAACGTCCCACTTGGACCAAACTCCCCATAGTTTGCTGGTAAGTCGCCATAGTTGCTGGTTAAGTCCCATAGTATGTTCTATCATTTAAATCCAGTTGTTTCCGGATTCAGATCGCCTTGAGTCCAATTTTCCGATATTTTTTGTGGATTGATATCACCAATCTATCAACATTGCTAGATCTATAAGCTCCTGTATTGAAACATGGCGTGCTGGAAAATCCACCCATCTATATATATATATATGATTTCCCGGCGAACAAAACCAACATCCAGCCCGGGGATTTCCCAGCCAGCTATGTGTGATTACCAAAGGGTTTCGCCCATATTGCTATCTATATATATAATATACATACATACATACATACATACATACATACATACATACATACATACATACATACATACATACATACATACATACATACATACATACATACATACATACATACATACATACATACATACATCATACATACATACATACATACATACATACATACATACATACATACATACATACATACATACATACATACATACATACATACACATACATACATACTACATACATACATACATACATACATACATACATACATACATACATACATACATACATACATACATACATACATACATACATACATACATACATACATACATACATACATACATACATACATACATGTATATATATATATATCCATGCGGTTGACTTTCTATCACATTAGAAATCCCTATTCTTGTTCGTTAAATCCCGTTCAAGAATCACATTAAATCCATTTAAATCCCATGAAACAAAAACACTTTTGTTGATTAACTCCCATTATAAATCCCTATTCTTGTTCGTTAAATCCCCTTAAAAATCCGAAATCCCCCATGATTTTGTCCCAGCTTCGCCGCCCTGGTCTGCAAAACGCAGGTCCACCTGCAGGCGGTTTTGGAGAGGCAGAATCGACGCTGTCTTGTCCTGGCGGAAGATGTGGCCGTGCTATCAGAGGACCTCCGTGTTGTGCCCTAAGCAACATTGACAAACCCAACTGTGTTGCGACCGAAATGGGGTGTTATTGGGGTGTGTGTGTATATATATATACACATACAATATATAGTATATATGCTACATTAATGGGCAGTGGGAGCACCATAATGAAAATAATAATAGTAATAATAATAAGAACAATGATAATAATAGTAATAATTAATAATAGTAATAGCACACAGACCCCGATGTTTGCCCAAGCCAAGAATAGCGTAAATACCAGGGAATTCTGTACGACGTCGAACAACGGGAAGGATTTTATGTTCAATTATGTTGAACCATTAACCATACAGTGATTGTTTTATATATATATATATTTATAGGGTTTCAAGAAGATATCAAAATCCCCCGGCCCCATGGAACAATCAAGTAACCATACAATCATTAGGGTTTCTTAAAAGGTTTTAAACAAGATATCAAAACCCCCGGCCCCATGGAACAAGTAACCATACAGTCATTAGGGTTTCTTACCGGGTTTCAAGAAGATATCAAACTAGTTGTGTTGATGATCATGATGATGTTGAGCATTCATCATCATCATCATCATCATCATCATCATCATCACCAGCATCATCATCATCATCATCATCATCATCGTCGTCACCTTGGATTGCCCGGGCGCTCCTCGCGAGTCCGGGCAAACCTCAGGGGCGTGCCGTAGTAGTAGTAATAGTAAGTTTGTGCAAGTTGATCTGAATTTCACTGTTGATGTTTGGTTGTTTTCGTTCCATGGCATCAAGAGTGCTCAGCATTCGTTTCGATAGAGCATTCTTCACATTTGGGTTTGTGTGGAATAGCATGCCCCAGAATTAGAATCCCATGGATTGTCATCATTTTCGGAAATTTTTCTGATTAAAATGATTAAACCAAATTTTTTCTGAACCAACCACGCCAATTTGATTGGACCTTTCTAAGCCACCCTACGCCGATGACTGGCTACCTGGGACTGCAAGGAGCTCGGAAAAATACGCAGCCAGCCTTTCACTGCCACGGGGCTGTTGGTGAGGCAGTCTTTGTATCTTGGGTCCTGTGCCAATGGCGAGACATGGAACATGCGGAAAGGTGTGTAATTTCCAAATGTTATCAGTTTTCCTCCGAGATTTGAATCATGGCAAGGTGCCGAGGTGCCCCGAGGTAGATGAACCATTGGAACAAGTAGAGTTGATCGTTGCACATGATTCACATGAGATCTACGCTGGGGACTTTGGATTCATTGCTTTCGACTGTCTTGGTGCAGTTCCTCTGTTGGTGGTGATGGAAAGTGAAGTGCCTGACCTGAATTGTGAGCATGCTAGTTTTTTCAAAAATCCGGCTGGAACATCAAATTTCAACCACTCCTTTTTGCTTCCTTTGATGCCATGGTGAAAAAACCTCTGAAGATGCCGGACCAGTAGTAAAAGTAGTTACTGTAGTTACTAGTTTGATTCAACTCTACCACTGGTTGAAGCACAGTGTCTTGAACATCTTGAACACAATCTGAAGCGCTGATGTGGCGTTAATGTGTGAAGTTGCCAATTCCTGGCATGGGCGCATCAAAGATGGCCTGGAAAGACACCTCAATTCAATTTCCAGAGAAAGGGCAGATTGCGGATTTTTCTGAACATGGGTCACGGGTACCCCGACTTCTCATCATTGTTGTTTTGGAAATAGCATCTACTTTTGGCGGGTATCCCCCTTTTTGGGGCAATTATAGTGCTTTGTGGCACAGGCATTGTAATGCAGCCAAGGGGCTGCATGGAGTGGGGGGAAGAGAACAGAGACGCACATGTAGCTGACATCTTGTGCCATATGTTGGCCATGGCTCAACTGCAGAAGTAATAGGATGGTTCCTTTGCGCAAGAATTACAAGAAGCATGATCAGCTATTTGCTGTTTGGATGTCCACTGATTTGTATCTGGCTTGCGCTCACTCTGACGGACCTGGTTTGTGAAGTGCTTTAGGTCTAATTTGACTTCCACGTTGATTTGCATGTAGTTAACCTGTCAAGATTGGTTTGGCGGAGCTTGGGGCAAGTTTCTGGTGTTGCTGCCCAGCCATCTACGGATTCAAGATCTCATCTCGAGAATCTTTGCTTTGGCACTCACAGCTTTGACTTGTAGTAGTCTATGAGTCCCTTTTGCACCTTGCAATGAGTTGGGTTTCCAGAAATTTCTACAGCTTGCTGGGGACTATCACACTGATTTAAAAACAATTTGGAATAGCTGTTTGGACATAGAGACGAAAGCTGATGCAGTGTGATGCAGTGGATTTGCTCGGCGGTTGCAAGCTGCTCAAGAAGGTGCCAGCGCTGCGCTGCTCGCTTCCTCATGTTTAGGTGTTTCCGACAACATGGACCCTCAAATCAATTTTCCCAGCAAAATGGAAAATTATGGGGGCAAAATATGAAAAACCATCACACATAATTACCCTCCATGGTAACTTGGATGACTTGGATGACTCCTGAAGTTCCAATCTGGCTGGTTCATAACCCTGGTAATTCATCCGCGATTCGTGGACGATCCCATTCATAACCCCACTTACTAACCCCTAATCTAAGTGGGATGATCCTCCAAGTATGCCCCGACGGTTTTCGCAGGGAAGATGATGAGAAACATAATGCCAGTAGTACCGCGCAAGGCGGTGGGGGAAGTTTCAAAATAGGAAACCTATAGGAGAGGTTGTTGTTGTGAATCACGGATGGCAGGGCGAATCCACTGATGGACCGAAAGGTGGTTGAAGTTCGGTTTTTTGGAGTGGTTGCAATGATTGCAATGGTCACCTCACCCACAACTGCTGGATGTAGTGTGGTGTAGTGCAGTTGTAGTTGTAGTTGTAGTGTGGTAGTAGAGCTGTTGTAATGTGAAATACGTGTAGCGTAGTTGCAGTTGCAGTTGTAGTTGTAGTTGTGGTGTGGTGTCATTAGTGTAGTGTATTGTAGTGTACTGTAGTGTGGTATAGTGTAGTGTAGCCAAGTGTGGTGTAGCGTAAGGTAGTGTAGTTGTAGTTGTAGTGTGGTGTAGTGTAGTTAGTGTAGTGTCGTGTAGTGCAATGTAGTGGTAGTTAGACTTGTAGTTGCAGCTGCAGTTGTAGTTGTAGTTGTAGCATAATTTAATGTAATTAGTGTAGTGTAGTGTAGTGTTGTGTAATGTAGTGTAGTTGTAGTTGCATTTGTATCTGTAGTTGTAGTGTACTGCAGTGTAATTAGCGCAGTGTAGTGTAATGTGGTGTAGTTGATATTGTTGTTGTAGCTGTGGTAGTATTAGTTGTTGTAGTTGTAGTGTAATTAGTGTAGTTCAGTGTAGTGTACTTAGATGAAATTTTATGTAGTGTAGTGTAGTGTAATTAGTGTAGTGTAATGTAGCGTAGTTTATTTGCATTTGTAGTTGTAGTAGTAGTGTAGTGTAGTGGTAGTTGTAGTTGTGGTTATCTTTTTATCTATCTATCTGCAATCTGCAAGCTTGAAAACGAAGCAATTCTGCGAGACTTCCTCAATTTTTGAACTTGACAACGCCAAAAGCGAAACAATTCTGCGAGACTTCCTCAATTTTTGAAGTTGGCAACATCAAAAACGAAGCAATTCTGCGAGACTTCCTTCAAAAATGGAAAGTTGAGTGCAGAGCTGACGGCCTCGTACCAATGCGCTTTTGCGTCTCTAAAGTTATTGCGCCTGCCACGGAAAACTGATGCCATGTCATACGAAGTGCTGCGCCTGTCACACAAAATCATCTTCCCAAAATTGAAGATCTGATTCTCCAAAACGCAACCCCTCTCAGGAAACCAGCGTCCTGACCTCCTAACATCTCTGATGAACATGTCTCGTGTACTGCACCTGCCACGCGACATGCATCTTTGCAGATCCTCTGCAAATGTCCCGCGCCTGCCATCGTTTTTGGAAATGCTACAAAACCTTCACGTTTTACTCACTTTTGGCAAGGTGCAGAATCCCTTGCACCTGCCACGCAAAACCAAATCTGAACCTTCAAAAGTGGTCCGAGCATGTGGTGTTTTTAACTTTTAACATTTTGACTTGGAAATGTGCTCGCGCCACAACGGCGTGCACTTTTTTGACATCTCAACTTCCAAAATTTGTCCGACGTTGGTGTGTTTGTACGTTTTGACTTCGAAATGTGCTTCGCGCCACAACGGCATTCAAAAGTGGTCCGAACATGAGGTTTTCTGTACATTTTGACTTCCAAATATGTTTTGCGCCACAACGGCGTGCAACTTTCCATCTCTCATTTGGCCAGATGGCTCCGCACCCGCCGCTTTAGCGAGCCTACTTTTCGACCCCCCGGAGCCACAAGTCATTGGAAAAACGCAGTCTTTTCGCGCACCTGCATGTTCTTTCTTCTAACTCTTTCTCTTCTCTGATTCTCTCTTCTGCTCTTCTCTTCCCTGACTCTTCCCACCTCTGCTTTCCATCCGTCCATATTGTCGGAAGTTTGACTTCTAAACTTCCTTCGGCAATTGATAAGCTATGAAATTTTCCGGTGACCTGGCGACGGCTCGCTGAAGATTAAAAACGCGGCATAGTAGAGCCTGGTTTCAAAGTTTCAGGTATGTCTTGCTGATTCCATTTTGGGCTCCACGTGCATAGAGCATCATAGAGCGAGGCGATACTGAGAGGCTTGCTTGCCTGGCAACCCGAACCTTCCTGCCAGAGCCATGGAGTGCTTTGAGGCATCCGGTGCTGCCAAGCGCCGCCGCCTGACATGCCGCGCAATGCCTGCCGATGGTGTGGAGGTGGAGAAGGAGAGAAGTGCAGAGCAGGAGGCCGGCCCCGAAAGACCAGGGAAAGGGATGTCGAAGATCGAGATGGATGATTTGTGGATGCAGTTGAAGAGGCAGACGGAAGACATGGAACATCACATCCACCGCCTGGCCCGCTGCGACATGCAAGAGAGCGTGACTGCAGAAGAGCCAGTTGCTGATAGTGTGAAGGCCACGAATGAAGCAGGCGCTGAGCGGGAAATCATGCTCTCATCCGCAGACGGAAACCATGTTACGCAAGGCCTGGAAGTCTTTGAATCTGTGGGAGTGCCAAGTGAGGAGGCGCCAAGAGACGAAAAGACCAAAAAAGTCCCAGTTGCAATAGCTGCTGAGCATCTCCTGCTGCTTGAGGTGGAGCAGAAACCAGCTCAGTTCAGGAGATACCAGCTGGCAAAGCAAAGTGGGGTGCCGAACATCACTTGGAGCACCGACTCCTTGGCATGGAAGGTTAAATTTCCGAAAGTTGATTCCAAAGGCGAATTTATCAGCTGGACTTCACGAGGATTTGCTGTGGCGAAGTTCATGGTCCAAGGGCGCAGTGAGGCCGAGGCCGATGCAGCAGCTCTTGAGGCCGCAAAGGCCTTCCACGCGGAGCTGGTCAAGAAAGGGTTCCTTAGAGAGCCCAGGTTGAAGGACCCCGAGTTCACCAGCGAAGTGCTTGGTGTCTCATGGGCAAAGAAAGAGAAAACGTGGAAGGTGCTGTTGTGGCCGAGCAAAAGGAAACGAATTTATGGCGGCTGCTTCACCGAGAAGGCAGCGGCTGAGGCCAAGGCTCTTGAGCTGCGGGAGAAGCATGGCTTGCAGCTCCAGGTGAAGCCTGTGCCTACGTTGGCAAACAGACATGCTGGGTTGCCGGTGTTCCACCCCAAGGTGTCATACCCAGGGGTGACGTGGGACCTGCAAAATCAAAAATGGTGTGCGAGGTGCTGTGTTGGTGGAGCCCGTCGACATTTCGGGGTGAGGCCCAAGGACCACTCAGAGGCGGAGCTGGAGCGCTCCTTCAAGGAGGCTGTTGCCTGGAAGAAGAAGCAGGAGAAAGAGAAGAAAAGAAAGGCAGTGAAGCCCAAGGCGAAGCCTCGGAAGAAATAGCGAAGGTGAGTGCAAAAGGCAAGATCCTGGCTTATTTTAAAGTCTATCACAGTACAGAACATTCGCATCTAGCAGGTTTCACAGAGGATAATCTCCGCTTGCCAATGTTTAGTTTAGGTTAAAATGGCTTATGTTCATCTAGCTGGCTTCACAGAGGAAAATCCCCGCTTGCCAGTTTTGAGTTTTTGAAATTGAAATCGATCATTTCGCATAATTTGGATTCATAGATTGAAATTGAGATGCCAGAGTGTGGTTCGCATTTGGAGATCACTCCTGAGTTTTGCAGCTTTGTTTTGGTGCCCCGCGTTTTCATTTATTGGTGAACTCCCCGAGTAACATGTTATAAATCCCCATTCTAACATGAGTCTTTCACGCATGAGATCCCGTCATTTGAGGTGACGGTACATTATGTTTGCCGCCTTGAAGATGAAACCGTTGTGGACGATTCACGAAGTACGAGACTTGCTGGTGCAGCGGATGTGAACAAGGTTCAGAGAAACTGAGGCATTTGGTCCTGCTGATCAGAAGCGAAGCAATGCAAATGCAGATTTGTGTCTGAAAATTTGGCATACCCCAAAAATGATCATTTTCGCAGGGAAATTGAGGATAAACCAGAGGATTCTTTGGGGCTTTCCCCTAACTCTTCAGACAAACTCATTTGTGAAAGAAGTCGTTCTGCTGTTTCCCAGGTCGAGGAGAGCCAATGTGTTTCGCTCTCGGACAAGGCAAGGGATCATAGCCTGGTCATAGCCTTGTGGAGTCATGTGAATAGGTGGTATCGTATGCTATGGTTAAGTTAGTTGGTTTGTAATGGTTTGTACACCCAGTCCTTGGGGGATGGTCGCCAGTCCATTTTCATAGGGATTGATATACCATGATATACCCATTATGTTTGGATGAATGGCCATAAACCATATATCATATACCATTGTTTTGAACACGGCACACCCATATAAGTCAAAATCAGTGCGCTGCCAATTCCAGCTTGGTGACAGCACTTGATGCAGGTGCAGAGGTGATGTGATAGCTGGGTGGGAATACTGCACTGAGACGGTCAGAAACGCATGGCGGCTTTTGGAATTTGAGGTTTCTCCAATCGAATTTGGAGTCTGACTTAACCTTTGCACATGATTCACATGAGATCTATGTTGGAGAGTTTGGATTCATTGCATTCGATGGTCTTGGTGCAGTTCCTCTGTTGGTGGTGATGGAAAGTGAAGTGCCTGAATTGTGAGCATGCTAGTTTTTTCAAAAATCCGGCTGGAACATCAAATTTCAACCACTCCTTTTTGCTTCCTTTGATGCCATGGTGAAAAAACCTCTGAAGATGCCGGACCAGTAGTAAAAGTAGTTACTGTAGTTACTAGTTTGATTCAACTCTACCACTGGTTGAAGCACAGTGTCTTGAACATCTTGAACACAATCTGAAGCGCTGATGTGGCGTTAATGTGTGAAGTTGCCAATTCCTGGCATGGGCGCATCAAAGATGGCCTGGAAAGACACCTCGATTCAATTTCCAGAGAAAGGGCAGATTGCGGATTTTTCTGAACATGGGTCACGGGTACCCCGACTTCTCATCATTGTTGTTTTGGAAATAGCATCTACTTTTTGCGGGTATCCCCCTTTTTGGGGCAAATTATAGTGCTTTGTGGCACAGGCATTGTAATGCAGTCAAGGGGCTGCATGGAGTGGGGGGAAGAGAACAGAGACGCACATGTAGCTGACATCTTGTGCCATATGTTGGCCATGGCTCAACTGCAGAAGTAATAGGATGGTTCCTTTGCGCAAGAATTACAAGAAGCATGATCAGCTATTTGCTGTTTGGATGTCCACTGATTTGTATCTGGCTTGCGCTCACTCTGACGGACCTGGTTTGTGAAGTGCTTTAGGTCCAATTTGACTTCCACGTTGATTTGCATGTAGTTAACCTGTCAAGATTGGTTTGGCGGAGCTTGGGGCAAGTTTCTGGTGTTGCTGCCCAGCCATCTACGGATTCAAGATCTCATCTCGAGAATCTTTGCTTTGGCACTCACAGCTTTGACTTGTAGTAGTCTATGAGTCCCTTTCGAACATTGCAATGAGTGGGGTTTCCAGAAATATCTACACCTTGCCGGGACGTGGTAACAATGCAATATGTGGTCAGTGGATTCGAAGTCTTAAAGTCTTGGACTAACACACTGATTTAAAAACAAATTGGAACAGCTGTTTGGACATAGAGACGAAAGCCGATGCAGTGTGATGCAGTGGATTTGCTGGGCGATGGCAAGCTGCTCAAGAAGGTGCCATCGCTGCTTGGGTAATGGACCCCCAATTCGCATCGGTTTCCCCAGCGAACATGAGAAAATATGGGGAGAAAATATGACAACAACATCACAAATATGCTCCATGGCAATGGACAATTCCCAGCATTTATAGATGATTTTCCCATTGAAATAACTAATTTTCTGGGGGATTTCCAGTGAATTGGACTTGGATTCTTGGGTCCAACAAGATCCAGTGCCAGGTCCTGCAGGAGGGCCATGGAGACGTTCCAAAGGTTGGAGATCGCGTAGGGGCCACAGCGAAGTTCCAAGCTGGCCGGTTGCCCTGGTGAACGGATTCGGCTGCTTGATTCGTGGATGATCCCATGGAAAAATGGGTTATGACTACCCCAGTTACCAAGCCCTTACCAAGTGGGAAGATCCTCCCAGTATGCCCCAATGATTATGGCAATTTCAATGGGGTGGATGATGAGAAACATTATAGTGTAGCTGCAGTGTCTAAATCTTTCAAATGGAGACGCTGGCCGCAAGTGGTTTCAAGGTTCCAGGTATGTCTTGCCGATTCCATTTTGGGCTCTGCGTGCATAGAGGAACCCGAATCTTCCCGCCAGGGCCATGGAGTCCTCATCCGGTGCCAAGCGCCGCCTGACGCTTGCGGATGGTGTGAAGGTCAAGAAGGAAAGAAGTGCAGAGCATGAGGTCGGTCCCCAAAGACCAGAGAAAGGTGAGACGAAGATGGAGACGGATGATTTGTGGATGCAGTTGAAGAGAAAGACTGAGGACATGGAGAGTCACATCCGCCGCCTGGCCGGCTGTGACAGACAACAGGGTGTGATGGCAGAAGAGCTAAGTTTTGACAAGAAGGAACTTGTTGAGAGTGTGAAGAAGGTCGCGAATGAAGCAGGTGCTGAGCAAGTCCTCGAGTCTGTTGGAGTGCCGAATGAGGAGGCGATGCCAATCGACAAAAAGGCCAAAGAAGCCCCAGTCCCAATGCCAGCTGCTGAGCATCCCTTACTGCTTGTGGAGAAGAAGCAGAAACCAGCTCAGTTCACGAGATACCAGCTGGCAAAGCAAAGTGGGGTGCCGAACATCACTTGGAGCACCGACGCCTGGGCATGGAAGGTCCAATGGGAAGTTGATTCGAAAGGGAAAAAAACGAAAAGGTCACGAACATTTGCCGTGAAGAAGTTCATGAGCCCAGGCCAGGCCGAGGCCGAGGCCGATGCAGCAGCTCTTGAGGCTGCGAAGGCCTTCCGCACAGAGCTGGTCGAGAAGGGCATCATTCCAGGTTGAAGGACCCCAACTTCACCAGCGAAGTGCCTGGGGTCAGGTGGGATAAGAAAGCAGAAAAGTGGAGAGTGTATATCGGAAAGAGCAACAAGGTGATTTATGGCGGCTGCTTCACCGAGAAGGCAGCGGCTGAGGCCAAGGCTCTTGAGCTGCGGGAGAAGCATGGCTTGCAGCTCCAGGTGAAGCCTGTGCCTACGCTAGCAAACAGATATGCTGGGTTGCCAGTGTTCCACCCCAAGGTGCCATACCCAGGGGTGACGTGGGACCTGCAAATTCAAAAATGGCATGCAACATGCCATGTTGGTGGAGTCCGTCGAAATTTCAGGGTGAGGCCCAAGGACCACTCAGAGGCGGATCTGGAGCGCTCCTTCAAGGAGGCTGTTGCCTGGAAGAAGAAGCAGGAGAAAGAGAAGAAAAGAAAGGCCGTGAAGCCCAAGGCGAAGCCTCGGAAGAAATAGCGAAGGTGAGTGCAAAAGGCAAAGATCCTGGCTTATTTTAAAGTCTATCACAGTACAGAACATTCGCATCTAGCAGGTTTCACAGAGGATAATCTCCGCTTGCCAATGTTTAGTTTAGGTTAAAATGGCTTATGTTCATCTAGCTGGCTTCACAGAGGAAAATCCCCGCTTGCCAGTTTTGAGTTTTTGAAATTGAAATCGATCATTTCGCATAATTTGGACTCATAGATTGAAATTGAGATGCCAGAGTGTGGTTCGCATTTGGAGATCACTCCTGGGTTTTGCAGCTTTGTTTTGGTGCCCCGCGTTTTCATTTATTGGTGAACTCCCCGAGTAACATGTTATAAATCCCCATTCTAACATGAGTCTTTCACGCATGAGATCCCGTCATTTGAGGTGACGGTACATTATGTTTGCCGCCTTGATGATGAAACCGTTGTGGACGATTCAAGAAGTACGAGACTTGCGCAGCGGATGTGAACAAGATTCAGAGAAACATAGAGAAACTGAGGCATTTGGTCCTGCTGATAAGAAGCAATGCAAATGCAGATTTGTGTCTGAAAATTTGGCATACCCCAAACATGATCATTTTCACAGGGAAATTGAGGATAAACCAGAGGATTCTTTGGGGCTTTCCCCTAACTCTTCAGACAAACTCATTTGTGAAAGAAGTCGTTCTGCTGTTTCCCAGGTCGAGGAGAGCCAATGTGTTTCGCTCTCGGACAAGGCAAGGGATCATGGCCATTGTTTACCCAGTCCTTGAGCGATGGTCGCCAGTCCATTTTCATAGGGCAATAGGGATTGATATACTCATTATGTTTGGATGAACGGCCATAAACCAATATACCGTACATATACCATGTTTGGCACCTTAATTTATGCTGAAAGGATAAGCTGTCATTTGAATCCTGGAAAGGGCAGAATTTCAACATGATTGTGCTTCTACTCATGCCCACCTCAGTCAGTCAGAATCTGTGCGCTGCCAATTCTGCAGCTTGGTGACGGCACTTGACTCCGGTGCGGAGGTGACGTGATAGCTGGGTGGGAGTAGTGCACTGAGAGTGTCAGCAATGCATGGTGGCTGAATTTGAAGTTTCCAATCGAATTTGGAGTCTTTGTCAAAGACGGTATGGATCTTGAATCTATCCCTTACTGGTGCTTAGTAGGGAATGAGGGAATGATCCATAATCACTAGTAATAATCATCCCATTCCCCCATTCCCATCCATTCCCTACTAAGCACCAGTAAGACTCAAGCAACGTCGGAACCGCTGAGATCGGCGCTTCCGTCAATGCGCTGTGGCGAGCTGGCGATGCTGATTGCAGTTGAGCTCAGCTGTGCATGATGGATTGATGGACACCTGTGTGTTGATGCAACACCAACATAGGGGGTTTCCATAAATGGGTGTGCCCCAAAATGGATGGTTTGCAATGGAAAATCTGATTAGAATCTGATGAATTAGAATGGATGTTTTTGGGGTACCCCCATTTTAGGAAACCTCCACATCACCAACTTCTCACTTTTGGTGGACGACATGAGACCATGATTTGGCACTCTTAGGTTCACCCAGACATGTCATATGGTGAAGCTGAACTTGCGGCTGGTCGAGATCTAAGAAGCTGCCGTTTTCTTTTCACTGAGCATGGGGCTTTTCAACCTGACTGAGCCTTGATCAATTTCTAGATTATTCTGAGCAGAGTGGCCTATCCAGGATAATGGGATTTCCGAATCAGAGATGTACTGCCTCGACATCAGTTCCGTCATGTTTTCATCAGAGACTCTGCATCATTCGGTCTGCTGATTCCAATGCACGATGCCAAGTTCCAATGCGAAGCTGCTTACACTTTGAGTGACAAACTCAGGGAGGGACGCACGAGGCTAGGGTCTTGCTAAGTAGAGGTTCCTTAGGAAGTTCCCACGGTCAGATCACACCTTGAGTTGGGGTGCCATGATTGCCAACAATCTACCAGAATTGGTAGAGGAATCTACCATAATCTACCTACATGCCTGAATTTAGCATGCAGGTGTAGCAGAAGGCTTCATGCCACGCAGGCCTCAAACTCTTCCATCCTAGGCTTGAGCTGCTCCACGTTTTGCCAGCAGCTGATGCGCCCAGCATGTTCGTGAAAGAAGACATGTCCGTTGAGGTCAGTGCAGTGGGTCCATGGGGTGATGATGGTGATGTGAACAAGTGTCATTAAATACATTAAATACATTAAATGAGATGTTTAAATGCGATGTTTGGGATATTTTGGGATACTTGTCGACAAGTGCGCTTTGCAGCCGCACTGTTGGCATCGCTGTGGCAGGAGCGGCTGGTCGAAGCAACCAAGTCCAAGGAACTGGGCAATGCTCGTTTCAAGGCGCCGAAAGATCTCAGTGGCAGGACATATTTCCTGCTGGAATTGCCGTTGGCTTGTTGTGCCAGGTTGGAAGCTTCAAAGATGCCATTTGTGCATATCTGGATGCCATCTATTTTCTGGGCTACGAGGCTTGAGGGTGCGATGGTAGGGATGCTGCTGAATGCTCGCCTTGAAAGGCACTGTCGACTTTACCCAGCCATTTGACCAACTCAATGCCATGGTCAGACATTGCAAGGAGTATGCAACCTTCCTGCATCAATCATTCTTTCAGATCTTAGGCAGATTGCGACCAAAGAGCTGAAGATGGACTTTGGTCAGATCCAGTTCGTCGCGGCCTCGGTTCTTTTCCTTGGATTATGCATCCCTGAGCCAACAGAACCAAGGTGCCGAGGAGAGAAAAGCGTTAGTCACGGGCCTAGTTCGTGTAGCTCCCAGAAAAGAAGAGAAGGTTGGGTCGACTGGGGCTTGGAGATTATCAGAAGTCTGATATTCAGATATGGCAGAACTTTCAAGTTGGCAAGTACATCAAACATGAGGTGTGGCTGAACAGATTCCCTGAAGGATTTAGACATCTTCCAGGTAGCTCTCAGCTCTTAGCGTCGGGTCACGGCACGATATGGAAACTAAAGTTGCTGTTTCTGCTACGATCAGAACTGGGATTCTTTCCAACAATATTTGGGAGGGATTTTATCAGCCTCATCGATATGGACTCGATTCCATCATATCCAAATGATGAGTGTCTTTTTCTATGGTTGTATCTATTGTCTATTCTATATCCATATCTATAATCTATGCCTATTCCTATCTCTACATCTATCCCTATCTCTATCTCTACATCGATCTGGGTATGGGTCAAAACCTTGTACCCCTGGTGAACATCAAAATAGCTGGTAAATGGATGTTCATCCCCCTAAAAATGGTATTAATAGGTATTGATCCATACCCATCTATCCATCTATGCAGCATTTTTCAGCAAGGCCTTGGCATCTCAGTTGAACCTTTGCCAGTCCTTGCCAGGGCCTCAGCAACTTCGGGAATGATCTGATGCAAATGTGATCCGCATCAATTTCATATATTTCATGGTCCAACCATTCGGATTTTGGAGAAACCTTATAGATAATAGACACTATATACTTCAGATTTTTGTAGTGAACACCCCATTTGTGATGCTGACACCATTTTTTTTTCGGTAACATCCTCATGTTTGACAGGAACATGAGCGAGTTTTGCTGCTAAACCATGGGTTTTGATTTTGACCGTAAAACCGGTATTTTTGATCATCATTTGTCTTTGTGGTAAAGCTCACCGAAGATAGATTCTGATGATAGCACCAACTCCGGCTGTCAGGCTGAAGTTGGAGGACCACGAAGCTGCGCTGTTGGAGCACCCAGTGCCGCGATGAGGCAGGTGATGAACCACGCTGATCTCACTCGACGAGGGTGAATTAGGTGGAACACATACATGGTTTGCATCCAATGTGCCTGAGGGTAGGGTATACCAATGGTATACCGTATACCATACCCCTCGACCGGCCATTGGATGGAAGCAGATACTGTGGTTGCCAAGGCAACATGCGGAGGCGGCTGTGGCACTCCAACCTGACAATTCGAAGGCCCTTTTCCCCTTGGAAATGTCATTAGATCACGAGAACATCATGATTTCTTCTCAGTTCTCTCAGTTTCTTGATGTAGACCTTTGACCTTTGATATCATTTGAGTTTTGTTTCGGTTCATCCCGGCCTCCCGCTGTGCATCAACACATGGTGCCATGGTGTTGCTGTGACAGGCCTTGTATCGTCGAGGCTTGGCCTCGATGGGCTGTGGACATTTCACGAAGGCGAAGTCTGATCTGTTGGCCGCGGCTAAGAAAGAGCCCAGGAGCGCAACGTCGCATGAAGGTAGCATGAAATGGCAAAATGGCAAACTGGCAATGAAATGGCAATGATTTATGGCATTGATTTCGTGAAACTAAGCCCCACGTCCAGTTCCACTTTGTCGCCCAGTGGGCATATACTCCGAATATTGCAAAGCTGGCTAGTGACCTTGCTTTGAGGAGCACGGAAATTCGGCGAAGCCTCGAGGAGCCAGTTGCCCAAGATTTTGTTGGGGTCCAGCCTTCACCCAACTGACCTGAACTCACTTGCCATCCGGGAGTGAGGTGTCAACAAAGAATTGCCAACGAGAAAAGTGCTACCAAAGATGCCGGGGGACCTGTGAATTTCCCAGAGAACAACTGCTGGGATAAATCTTTCAGCAGCTCACCGCCGAGGCATATGGTGGCTTTCTGTCGCGGTCTGACTAGGCAGCATGGTGGTTGTGGAGGGAGTTTTCAATGGCACAAAGCTTGGTAAAATGGATAGGCTCCGGAAGCGATAGCGAAAAGATCCTAGGCAGGCTTTTTCAACAGAGGCAGGATTAGGGGACACTGTGAACACATTGCCAGGAAAACCTGAGAGGATACTGAGCAGCTTCAAATTTGAGCGGAGCTGAGAAAAACACTTGCGATTGCGACAGGGAGCTCATCCCATTCTGTGAATTCGTTAAAGGGTACTGGAAGGTGCACAAACGCATTTTTTGCTGACAGGTTTGTTATTCACATAATCAACGTCGCTGAAGGAGCTAATGGTGGGACAAATGGAAGCGTCAAAACATGTGTCGTGGGCATTTAGGAGTGATTTCTGATCCTTCGGCTCAAGGCCCCCTTGGGCAGACCCCTGAAGGGCCATTCTCATGTGGCCGCGGGTGCCAATGAAGTCTCGGGTGCTGGTGCTGCTGGCGCTGGCAGCCCAACATGTTGCTGCATCGCAAGCGCCGGTGCAGAAAGTCTTGGGGCTGCTGAAAGAAATGAAGGTCAAAGGGGCTGCCGCCATGGAGACTGAAAAAGCTCAGCATGCCGAGTTCTTGGCGTTCTGCCAGAAGACTCTGTCGGAAAAGCAGCAAGCGATTGAGGAAGGTAGAGATCGGATTGAACGCCTAGAAGCTGACATTGAGAAATTTCAGGCATCGGTGACAACGCTCACCAGCGATATTCAGACACACACCAAAGAGATTGCTACCGCTGAACAGGATGCTGAAAAGACCAGTGCTGCGCGCGACCAGGAGGTCGCAGATTATGACTCAACCCTCAAGGAGTACGAGGATTCCATTGGTCGCTTGCTTTGGTTGTTTGTCAATGTTTGTCAAGTGTCAAAGCTTCTTGACGCAATCTTGTTCTACTTAGCATACTTAGCACCAAATGATGACCCCTAACAATCCGGTCAAACCCTGATCTATCAACTTAGTCCTGGATCTCTTCATTTAGGGCCGCCCCAAAAATCATAGTTTTTTTTATTGTTTCAAGCTGTTTCAGGGCTAGGGGATGGATGATAAAGGCTCTCCAAGCGGCCCAGGTGCAATTGCGAAGGCTCTCGAGCTGTTGAACGCCCAAAAAGATGAGGATGCCAGCGCGCTGTTGTCGCAGCTGTCGAGCCCTTCCCGCCTTGGGAGAGAGCTCCAAGCGTTTTTGCAGAAACCCAAGGCATGTGTGTCTTGTTGGGTTGGCAGGTGTACCAGTAGATACATCTATACAGACTATGTGAATGCCTTATTTCTGTCAAAGAACTCCTACTTTGTGACTGCGTGAAAAAAAGCGGGCATGGACGTTCTTCTCTTCGCTATGCAACACAACAACCGGAGCAGAGATTTCAAGTTGAACATAGTTGAAATGTATGTCCATGAAGTAATGGCAGGATATTCGCAGTCTCATCCTCCGTCCTTCGTTGGGTGGCTTGACCCTTGAGGCCTATGACTTTCAGTCAAATGTGGTGGTTGACATGTTGGACAAGCTGAGTGCGAAGTTCGTGGAAGAGAAAGCGGCTTTAGAGAAAGCTGAAGCCGAGAAGAAGACATCGCACCAGCTAGTGATGACCAGCCTCAAGAATCAAAAGACTGCTGCCAGTGACGTGGTTTGCGGTAGCGGTATTTTTGTGCTTTTCTTGTTGTGGCTTTTTCATCTCCAACTTCTCGTTGAAAGCCATCTTCCCTGACTGAGGCGAGGCAAAGGAGGAGAAGACGGAATTCAAGAGCAAGGCCGAGCAAAACTTGGCCAATGCAAAGGCAGATCTTGAGGAGTCCAAATCAACACTTGAAGAAGACACCAAGTACCAAAAGGATCTTAAGGTGGAAACTTTGCTCGTTAAAGTCCGTTTAATTGAAGCACTTTCTTGGAGATATTGAACACTTTGCAAAGGTTTTTCAGTCGTTTCAGGTTCCTGCTGCTGATCCTCGTACCAACAATTCAATCGATTGTTTGGTCCAAAGTTGGGTTCCATTTCTTTTTGTGCGTGCAGTCCGGCCACCAAGGAGTGCAAGAGCAAGGCCATGGAGTTTGAAACCAATCAAAAGCTTCGGGCAGAAGAGTCTGGGATTTGTTGAACATGTTTTTTTTGATATAAAACCCAACCACCCTAATATTAAACACCACCCATAAGAATTTCCCATTTAATAAATCCACCATGACTGGGGAATCCACTGGGAAGCACCAAGGAGTTGGATGCCATTCTGAAAGCTTCCGAGATCATCTCTGGCAGCACCGTCTCCGGTGCGGCCAAACACTTGGAACCAGGCAGGACGCGGACCTTGCAGAGCTTCAGAAAATTACGGTATGTGTATATAGCACCCCCCAAAAAGATGGATAGGTAGAATGGTGGTCAATTACTTTTTACTTTTCCATCCTTTTTAAATTACTATAATTCAAAACTCATGGATAACCGCCCGTTTCTGTATTTTTTGACCAAGGGAGACCAACTTGTTGTGTGTGTCATACAATGCCCGAAGGTTTCAACGTTTTATTTCACAAAAAATGAGCAGTTCATCTCTGCTTCGACGACAACACTTACAGTTCCGCTCTCTCAATGGGAATGTTATTATCAAGGAAAAGATGGTAGGACATCATCTGATCTGTCGTGCCCAAAATGATCCCGAAGAACGTGATTTTTCTGGATGGATCATGACCATACACATAGATTTTCTTTGATTTTTCCACATTTGGGGGGGTTCGGAGGGATCATGACCGCATCTATGTCCCACTAAGACGCTTTCGTTACCCGTTACCACCCCGGACCTCGGAGGCTTCCTGCAGCGTTCCTCGCTGGCCATGCTCCGTGCCACGCCCCGTGGCCACGCGGCCGCCGTGAGCTCGGCTCTGCAGGTGCTCCGTGCGGGGGCGACCAGCGAGGCACAGAGGGCGCTGATCCAACGGCTGGAGATGATGGAACAGGTGGAGCGACCAAAATCCAGTGAAACTCTGTGTTTTTTTTGGGTTTTCAAACATATTTTTTAGAGCAGTCTTAAATCAGGATACAATGATATAGCTGTAATAACTGATATAGTTGAGGAATGATGGTTGGCTGATGGTCGATGGTTCATTGGTTATTAATCTTATTATAATTTTAGAGCGGCCTTAACTGTATACACGTTTTTCAGATACTATAGGGGATTTAACCGTTAAGAATGGGGATATGGTATGGTGTACTCCAAAAATTGATGGTTGATGTTCAGTTGTTGGCTTGCACTATCTAGCTGGTTTATTGGAGATGTCTTCTGGGATCTATCAAGCAGCTCAGGTGGATTCAGAGATGAAGCGCAATGAAACCCTGCAAGGGGTGAAAGATGTGCCACGGAAGCAGCAATTACTTTTTTTTCTTTTAAATTTTGTCTTCTCCGAAAATTTGATGTTTGTTCATTTCTCCATCTTTAAGCACTCTCACAAGTAGTGCCATGTTGAGTGAGGGGTCTTTAGGTGCTCCAGAAGTATCTGACCAACCTCGAGTCCGAGCGCGCCAACGAGATCGAGCACGAAGCCTTTTGCACCAGGGAGTTGGCCTCCAACAACCGAACCAAAAAGCAGAAGACGGCCAAGGTGGAAAGTCTCACAGCTGCTCGGCGGGGCAGGTGGTGTAACCCGGGGTGTTTTTCGGAGGCGTTTGCCCTTTGCCCCGATCCGATTCTCAGATCTGAAATGTGAAAGATCGATCGTGGACACTGAACTGCTGACAAGAAAGATGGTGCTGTTTTGGTAGGCAGAACTGGTGAAAAAGTATGAACCTAACCTTGACTTGAGGTGGTCTTTTGGCACCCCGAAACGACTTGAGCTTTGGGCGGTCTTTGCCGGTTGGCCACTGCAGGCTGAGATTGATCAACTTGAGTCCTCCATCGCAAAGCTGTCAGAGGACATCGCAGACATCTCTTCACAAATCACGAAGCTCAGTTACTTAGCTCATGCAGCGCTGGGAGACAATGATATTTCCTGATGCCTCTGTCATAGAGACTGCAGCTCTGATACAGAGATTAAGTTGAGATTTTGACCTGCCAAAATTAGATGAATTTCAATCATATTGCAATGCCTACATTGGCACTGCATCGAATTTTGAGTGACATGACATCTGCCTAAATGACAGCCTCTTTCCTGTGGCCCCTGTCCCCTTTCTGACGCCATGGCTCTCCTAGGCAGTGCCTTGTCGGAAGCGACCAAGTTGCGCGGAGATGAAAAGGCCAAAAACAGCAAGACCATTGCGGAGTCACAGGCCGCCCAGGAGGCAGTCACAGAGGTCCGGGGGCTCGGAATGATAGATGTATACTGTATATAGATATAATATATATATATATATAATATAATTATATAATATATATATATATAATATATAAGATATATATATATATATTATATGTATATATATATAGGACCTTTATGTACCCATATCATCCCATATCTATGTTCAGACGTTGCATGTCTCCAGCGGTGGTTTCCTTGCATGCTGCATGTGCAATCCACGGTAGACGCAGCAGCTTGAGGCGATCGACCTGCTGCAGGAGGCGTTCGAGAAAACCGCTGCCATTTCGCTGCTGCAAATTGGCTCCAAGACAGGCACCGTGATCGCTAAGTCAGTTAGACGTGACGTTTGGTATCTTCTTGTCCGTGCACGTTTTTGGTTGAGAAAAGTAAGAAAAAAATAAAAACAAGAAAAACGAGAAAAGTCAAAAAGTCAAAAAGTAGAAAAACGATGGTTTTTGCAATCTTTACGTTTTTTGCCATTCGTTTTTCGCAAGAAAAATAGAAAAATAAGAAAAATAAGAACAGTGAGAAAAGTAGAAAAATAGAAAAGTAGAAAAACAAGAAAAGTGCAAAAAATACAAAAAGTAGAAAAGTAGAAAAGCGATCCTTTTCGACTTTTCTACTTTTCGTGTTTTTCGACTTTTCGCGCACGGAGCCACTTTTCGATTTTTCGAATTTCCGAGAAAAAAA